CACAACTCCGGGAAGCAAGCTTTTCCACTGATTAATTGCTCTCACTGTCAGGAAATGTCTCCTTAGTTTCAGATTGAATCTCCCTCTACCTATTACTTCTTATCCTGTCTTCAAGAGCTTTGGAGAATAAATCAACTCCCTCTTCTCTATTACAGCCCTTCAAGTATTGGAAGATGGCTATCATGTCACCCCTAAGCCTTCTCTTTATTAAGCTAAACATATCTAGTAGCCTTAGCTACTAGTTTAGCTTCCAGACCCTTTATCATTTTTATTGCTCTTCTCTGGACTCTTTCTGGTGCCTTTTGTATCTTGGTAACCAGAATCTCATACAGTATTCCAAGTGTGGCTTATTAATGCATTATAGTGTGGTACTATCACTTCCCATGATCTTGATATTATCTCTCTATTGATGCAGCCTAGGACTGCATTGACTTTGTTGCAGCTGCAGCATACTGTCCATCGCTACTTATCACCATAATGAAGTAGATTGCATTTGGGGAGTGGCTGTTCCAAAATTATTCTATAGAATGCTATGGCTGAAGTACTCTTGAGGTTGCCTTGTATCAGCCTCTCTCTGATTACACTCAATCCCTCTCACTAGCGTATCTCACTGGTTTTGCCTATGAATAGTATATGATTTTTTTTTAATGTTACTCTTTCCTAGAGTTATCTTAAATTTGAGGTGGGCTTCCTTTTAGTTGGATTTATAGGCTTCTTTGGAAGAATTTTTCAGCTGCTATAAAACACTGTTCAACTCAGGGTTCTTAGTTTTTAATGGTATGTATTCACTGTCTCTGTCAAAGGACTGTCGTCTGGTCCTTATGGGCACTATACACTCTCTTCACATTCTGCCCATTTAGTCTTGACCAAAATTTGGACCAAAACAGGAGGACTAGTGAGACATTGTGTAATTACAACATTGCAAAAGACAAAAAAGAGGATATTGATGTTGCTTAGCCTTTTACTCTCATGCTCTTCTTATGCTCATGCTCTTCTTATGCCTTATGCTCTTCTTGCTTAATGTGATGGGTGCTGTAGTCCAGCACTGTTAGAAAACTAGGCAGCTTATGTGGCTGTTAATGTTTCACTTAAACTAGGTTGGCTAGCAATGAAAAACAAAGTATTTAACCACTGTCCTACCTTAGATCTTCCTCCTCAACAGCTATTTTTCTTGATCAAATCATGTTGTGTTTGTTGCCAAAAAAAATTAGGCAGGCTTTATAGTCACTTTTTTTCTTCTGTTATAATGGTGTTGTGTTGAAACTGAGAGTGTAACTGAGAGTCTGCTGTATCAGTACTTTTTCATCAATCCATGGCTTTAGATGTTATTAAATTGATGTAATACATTTGGCCTCACTTTAAAGGATGAAGTATGAGAAGCAGTCCAAGACACTCTCAGATAAATTTTGTGTTTTGTGCAATTTTAAGCTAGGGCATAGTACGCAGAGTTGTTTTATGCAACATTAAATATAGTTCTAAGGAAAGAAAAAAATGATGATGAAATTTCCTGTTAGGAACTCTTTAGGGTGAAAATGCATTGAAACAAAGCTGATAGTATGAATGGATTGCTATTTTAAACATAATTGCAGCTGAAAAAGCGCAAAGGTACTCAATTCCAAACTCAAAATTATTCAATTCCAAGTATTTTAAATATCTGGAAGTACTTTCTAGAGAGTAATTTTTATTGTCAGGCAAATCTTCATTTCTGCCTGGAAAACGTCTTTAAAGGATCCTTGGAATTCAAAGGGTTGTAATCAGAAAGAAAAACAAATAAAAAAGTGTGTTCCTGGTCTATGAAATGTCAATGGTTCAACAATCCTTTTCTTCAAGAAGTACTGGAGAAACATCTGTTTAAAATCGTGGCAAATAAGTACAACAGAAATGAGATGGACAAGCTATTATTGATTAATATAATTGCTTGTTTACTTCAAGTAATTGCTAGTACAGCAACCTATAATTACAAACCCTGTAATGCACAAAGAGAATGCAGGACAAAATAAATTAAAAATCTGAATGCCTTATAGAAAAGCCTCTTTATGTTCTGAATTAACAGGCAGATTCTAATCTAAATTTTGCTATTACAAGAAGTAGTTGACCGGTACAAAATGTCCATTTTTAGAATACTTTTGCATATTCTAGATTCCTGATCGATTTTGGATTGTAGGAATTAAATGCATCTATAGTCTATAACGAAAGTTTAAAGTTAGTAAGAAGCGGGTATGGATATCTTTAAGATGTTCTCACTGTCACAATTTTGTATTAATAATCCAACACAGGCTCACTGTGAATTACCATAGGGATTCAAGAAGTTAACACCCATTGCACACAACATTTGTGCAATGCTGATTGAAATATTTACCACTGAATCTTCAACATTAGAAAATTTTGCTTTTCTTCACAGCCAATTGTGTTTTTCTTTACTACCATTTCCTTCAGTGATAGAGGTATTATTCACCTCTCCTCCTACCTGGGTCATTTGCGGTCATGTTTTGAAAGCTTGAATTATTCTCCCTGTGGGAACAGAGTGTTCTGTTTCTATGCATTGGCTGTTAGTTTTAGGTGGGCACAGAATATATTCCCATCTCATCAAAGTGTATTTTGTTTAAATACGTATATTTAAAATTGGAGTTACACAATTTTTTATTCTTAAAGATTAAAGTGGGGCTAGGAAATAAGTAAAAATTATTCCTAAATGTAGAGAATTGTCTCTGCTAATTCAGTGTCCAAAGTCTTTTTTTTTGGGGGGGGGGGGCTCAAAAGAGATCTCTTTACACACTTCCACCACAGGGTGGGCTTAGGGAATTAAACCTTGAATATTAAATGGCAACCTGAGTGTTTGTCAATTCCATATGTGATCAATCAAGCTTAGCTTTATTTTAGTTGTGTTTTCTTACCTTGTGCTTTTAATTTCTTTTATTTTCTGTTCTTTGCAAATTCTTACTCTCAAAGGAAGTCAGTTGAAAGGCACATATAATAAATAGAAGCTTTACAATTCAGTCTGAAAAAAGGCCTTTGCCATTAAATACTAAAAGTATTGAGTTTAATGGATAAATAATATAACTGCATGTAATATAATTTTCACTTCTTTATTGTCTTTGTGTTCTTGCTACAGATAATTAGGATGTGAGGCCCAGAAATGTACATGAATTTTAAATGGCTAGAAGCAGTAAGAATTTAATTAGCATATTTATCTTACTTTTTTAAATCAGGCGGCCTACTATTTTTCCACATTATTGAAATTTCTTACTGAAGGAAAATAAATTAACTTTTTGTTATAGATTTGGAGAAGAGTTCTGTCTTTTCATGTTTTGTTTGATATCCACTAACAATATTATACTTACAACTGACTTTACATACAATTAAATCTATATTTTTGAGGGACAAATAAGAGAAAACCTTCAGTGTATTCATGTAAAATAAGATTTAGGACTGATAATTAAAAAGATCCATTTTTGAGTCTTTATATTCAGCATTTGCCCATTGATGTATGTGAGACAGTTCATTACTCAAGTAGTATGATTTTAAGCTTACTTGTAAATTCTGCAGCATCGCTGTATCTAATTAGAGTTTTTTAAGCTTTGGATCTTATGCAAACAAACAGATGCACTTTTTAAAAAAGAAACTTTAGAGTCGTCTTGTCTGCTTATGTCATTTCCTATTTTCCTCTCAGTAATTATTGATAGAGTCCTTGACTCATGTGCAGAACAGTATGGAAAATGGTGATTTCTTCCCACAACCTGCACATGTTCTAGCATAAGGTAGGTTGATCTAGATCAGGGGTAGTCAACCTTGGCTCTTTTATGACTCAGGAATTCTGGGAGTTGAAGTCCACGAATCATAAAAGAGCCAAGGTTGACTACCCCTGATCTAGATGCTCATAGAAGACTTGGCAGATCTAGGGGAATATTAATAATGCCTTTATTGGCTCATAATGAAATCCTCGGTTAACAGATCCATTATAACTTTTATTTAAACAATTAATGTCATGTTTGTAATTTAAATTGTGGGAAATATGGAATTAAGATTATATTGACTCCTGAAATGCCTTGGTTTAGGTCTTTCAGAGTATCTTTTGTGGACAATACATATGCAAAGGAGGCCCTCTAGTGTCTCAGTGATGTACAGTTTTCCATTTACACGTTTCATAAATCTGGAGATCAAATAAAACAGCCCAAGTGTATAATAATACTCTCTCTACAGAATTAGAAAGGACCTCAGGTGTAGTTCACCTGCCAACATAGGGAATATAGTACTACAGTATCACTGACAAATGAGCAAATCCAGCCCTAGCATATAAAATGTCTGTACCAATGTTTGATCAGCTCGTATCATGCTTTGGATCATAGGGTGATTGTTATGGAAGCAAGTGAGAGGATTAAATACTTTATGTATTGCCTTGTTCTCCTGACAGCTAAAACTAACATATAAATGACTCTTTTTTCTTCAATATGAATTAAATGGGTTTAGAGAAACATGCTCCATACCCTATGGGACCATTGACCACCTATTTTAAGAAGGTAGCTGTCACAGTTTGTGTGAAATGTAGTTGCTTGTATTACATAAGTTTTTGGCAATACTTACTTCGGAGTAAATCATTGAACTTAGCTTGAATTTTAGCTTGCAGAAATAAAATTGTACTATTGATGTCACTCTGAGTTACAGAGATAACGAGGTCTTCAAGCCAGAAAGAAATCTAAGATTTGTAAATCCAGTTTAGTCCCCTATCATAATGCCAACTTAATCCTTTCTTTTATCTACTTCCTTAATAAAAAAAAAAATTCTGGTTGTCAGAGAGCTCCTCAAATTAACTCACAATGTATTAAATATAGCAATAAAAGATTACAATAACAAAGCCCAGAGCATGATGCAAGCAATTTACAGCAATCTACCGACTCTTTTACTCTCCCAGTCTATATGGTATGAGAATGTGGTATGAAAACATCAGCCAACATTATTGTGTTGCCTCAGAAGAATTCTAACCTGGCAATCTTTCATTGCAGTCCTTTTAGAACATTATGCATCGCCTTTGAAGTGCTACAAGGCTTACAGTATCTCAATGAGCATGGAATAGTCCACCGAGCTCTCTCACCTCATAATATCCTCATGGATGGAGAGGTGAGTCTTTGGCTATTAGTCTTCTATTATGTATTATATATGGAGGTCAGAGGCCTGAGGAAAAGCCTGAAGCAATTATGTGAGCAATTCTAATTTCATCTCCCCCCCCCGCCACATTTACTCCTTTACAGGTAGTCCTCAATTTTACGACCACAATTGAGCCCAAATTTTCTATTGTTAAATGACACATTTGTTAAGTGAGTTTTGTCTCATTTTACGGCTTTTCTTGCCATAGTTGTTAAGTGAATCACTGCAGTTGATAAGTTAATAACCAAATTGTTAAATGAATCTGGCTTTCCCATTGATTTTGCTTGTGAGAAGATCGCAAAAGGTGACCTTGGGACACAGCAACGATCATAAATATGAACCAGTTGCCAAGTATTTGAATTTTGATCACATGACCATGGAGATGCTGCAAAGGTTATAACTGAAAAACAGGCATAAGTCACTTTTTTCAGTGCCATTGTAACTTTTAACGGTCACTAAATGAACTGTTGTAAGCCGAGGATTACCTGTATTTTCAGGACTGGAAGAAAATGATGCCTGTTCCCAGCCATTCAGCATGGAAGGAAAGCTGAATCTTGTGGAAGTGAAATTAAGTGGCTGGATGCATGTGTTTGAGCATGTATGGTATGTTTGTAGATGGATTTGGAAGAGAAAGAGAGGAAGACAAAAGGAGTTTTTGACTATTAGAGTGAAAATGTGCATGGGAAATAGGCAGATTAAAAGGACTCCCCGTTTTCTTTCCTTTCCAATAAACCTGCCTAGCTCCAATTGAGCTATCTTCAATTTCTCCTGAAGTAGTGTGTTTCCATAAAGATGGTCCACTCCTGATCTATATAATAAAGCCTTCCTTAAAATAATTTAACTTCTCATATATCATGAATGTAAAAATTGTATGTGTGCTCCATGGTGGAATGTGCCAGTGAAACAAATAATTGTTCATTCACTCAAGCTATAACAGCTATGTTTGGGCATTGTCATAAATAACACTTTTCTCTCCTCAGAAATGTTATCTTCAGTTTTGATTAATCACCATTTCTTACTTAGTTAATGTCACAAACTCTGGCTAAATATGGTATATTTGAAACAAGCCAGAGTGTATAAATAAGTCACCAGGCTAAACATAATATGTTTGGGTGCATTTTGATAGAGTGGATTGTTAAAAAAATCAACATTTAAGAACAGGCATGCAAAAGAAATGTTTCTTTTTAAAAAGAAAGTGTTTCTTTTTACACCACTGGGAAGTTTTTTCAAAATTTGTCCATAGGAATTAGAACTTAAAAGATTTTTATTGATTCTTATTTCTAATGTACAAGGCAGAAAACTTTGCCAAGTAATTAACTTTGTCGAGTTTCTTTTAACAGGGGCATATTAAATTGTCAAAATTTGGCCTTTATCATATGACTGCTTATGGTGTAGATGTTGATTTTCCTATAGGGTAAGTTAGTTGTCTTGAAATAACCATAATCATATATGAACATTATAACAGTAATTTTCTAGTACATTTGACTAAGATTGATGTTTTCTGTTCCTCCAATATTCAAGAAATATTGTGTACGCATATAATAAAATCACCTAGTAAAGGCATTTCTCATTAGAATCATAAAAATGTCACTTTCTGTGATTGTTATGGCAGCTGTTCCTCATTGGAAGTGATCTGTTGCCACTCATCGATGCTAAACATCAGCAGCCAATTCTCCCCTGCTTCTGCTAGTGCAGGTGGCTGACCATGTGGTTGACCAGTCCTCTTGATGCCAGACATACCCATGACTGTGTCTTCCTCAGCTCCTGAACTCTCTGGACACTCCTGGGGATTCATGCTGATGGCCCCAGTTCTGGCTCATCTTCCTCCTCCAAACCAGCTTCCAATGGGGCCATCACCGAGAGAGGGGGGGAGCGGGAGGCAGACAGACAAACAGACCCTGACACACACAGACTATTGCATTAATGAAATCACATTAACTGAAATGATGAAATAATACCAATAATAATGGGATAAAAAAGGAGAAAATAGCAACTTAGGAAATTGTGTAATAGAAGGAACACTCTGAAAACTGCAAGTAATTTGGAAAAAAGGTATATTTGTTGTCTTTGCAGTCGACTCAGGAATGCATTTTAGACCTTTAAAAGCATGCTTTGACTTTAGACACCAAATCTGTTCTCAATTTCCATGGCCTTCCTATACCTACAAACTGACTTTAATAACAGAATACGTTTTTTAAAAAGTTCTTCTGTCATTGTGACCGTTCAATAAAGAAAAAGATAGGCATTGGCAAATGAGTTGTGTGAAGTTTGTTTGTCATCACCTGCTCCTGAATAATATTTTTTTAAAACAAAGTTTAACAAAGCTTGAAGCACAATTTGACCACTGGTTAACTTATCCCATTGTCTGGTGGAATAAACAGTAAAACGTGTTGTGGAACTAAGAAATTATAAAAATCAATCCCCATATGATACATAAAAAAAAAAATTCAAGGTAATATCTGTTTGTGACCATGTGATAGCAGGAATAATTTGTCTCGGCATCATCTTGCTGCTTTGTTTTAGCAAAATTTTATTTTAATAAGATGATTTTCATTTTTTAGGTACCCATCATACTTGGCCCCTGAAGTAATTGCACAAGGAATTATTAAATGCAATGATCACATGCAGATTGAAAAGGCCCTACGTTCTGGTCCTAAATCAGATGTGTGGTCTCTTGGTATTATATTATTTGAACTTTGTATGGTATGTAACATGTGTTTTTATATCTTTGAGGGGAACTGTAGTTGGACCACAACTTTCAACTTCATCAGAACTTTCAAAGTCATTAAGTATTAGTGATGATAATACATCTGAGCAGCCCCAGCTTCAGGAATGCTCTTTTTTCAAGATATTTGAGAACCATGCTTGATATATTTTCATTCTAGCAATGAACTTTCTTTGAGTCATTTCATTTAAGACACAAATAAATGTCCAGAAAATATTGCAATTGTTGCATTCCCCTTTCCCCCCTTTTCCTAATGATATGGTCCAGAGGAAACGCAGTCTTGAGATAGGCATACAAATCTTTTATGACTGCACATTTTTACTGAGGTCTGTTTAAAAACAACAATTATCTTCATGGATGTATCAGTTAATACATGATTTAAGTACACAGTACGCAATTCATAATAATGCTTCATTAATCACCCCCCTTTGTTGTTGCCTTTAGGGCAGAAAGCTGTTCCAGAGTTTGGATGTAGCTGAAAGACTAAAACTGATACTTAATCTTGGTGAGTAATGTATAAATAACTGCAGATCATTGAAGGCCTCATAAAATCCCAAATGACTACCTAGTCATTATATAGGCTCTGGATTGCCTTTTTTTTTTTAATGTATCTGAAAATTGGATATGTATTCAGTCAACTCTACCCCATAACAGCAGCACAGCACTGTTGCTTTGATAACGCTAAAGAATAAAATAACTGAAGATTATCAGGGCAGTGATACAAGGATGGTTCGGGAATGGAATAAGTCTTGACTGCCTACAAAGTAGTTTCAAAGAATATACCAACCTATCCCTTCATTATTCTTTTATGTATTTTAACTTTATTTCTTGACTGTGGTTTATCAACCATGTCATCCCTTTTACAAACACTGGACCTGTATATAATGGCTACATTTTGTGTCTGAAAAGCAACATCCACAGAAGATATAGCACACCAAGTAAAGCAGCCTCTGTGGATTTTACTCCGCTAGTCGTTGCCAGCTATAGGGGGAAGTGCTCATCTCCGTTTCAAGGCCATTGAACCAGCACTGTCCAAAAATATTTCCGCAGTCATGTGGCCAGCACGCCATCGTGGAGCACTGTTACTTTTCCACCATAGTGGTATCTATTTACCTATTTGCCTGCTTTTGAACTGCTAGGTTGGCAGGAGCTGGGGTGAGAATCAGAGCTCACCCCATCGTGTGGCACGTAGGTCACGAACCTGAGCTGCCAGTTTTCCAGCCAACAAGTCCAGTATCTTAACTGCTGAGCCACCGTGCCACCCCAGAAGATATAGGTGTGGTGAAATTGGTGTGACCTTACTAGTTGTTATATTTATTAATCTTCTCTTGAATTTGCTACAACTGATCTATTTTTGTACTGTTTTGATCAAAGAGGAGCCACCCTACATTTTTTAGGCTTATCAGCCCATCCATATTATGAAACATATTTATATATTGTATATTTAATACTGGAATAAGCAACTTTAACCAGATTTCTGTTCCCCGTGTAATTTTAATATTAATTTTTGAAAAAAATGTGCAAAGCTGTTGTGCTTCAGTGCAAAATATCAACATCTAGCACAATGGTTCTCAACCTGTGGGTCAGGACCCCATTTGGGGTCGATTGACCATTTCATGGGGGTCGCCAAGCAAGGCTGTCCGCCATTTTTTTTGTCCGCCATTTTTTCCCCCTTTTCCGGCGGGTGCCTTACCTCCCTTGGGCTGGGCCAGCTGGTGGTCGGCCTGCTCCGTCTCTGCCGCTTGCCAGCTATGCCTCGGCCGGCGCAGGGGGCGGAACCATGCATGTGCGGCGCTCCCGGGCAGGGAAAGTCCTCAACTTACGACCGGTTGGGTAGTCCTCGACCTACGACCGATTTAGTCCTCGACTTACGACCGGTTTAGTCCTCGACTTACAACCGGTTGGGGTCGCAGCATTAAAAAGGTTGAGAACCACTGATCTAGCATCTTTATTTTCAAGAATGAAAATAGGCCTCTAGGCAGAAAATAAAAATATTGAGTAGCAGCAGCCCAATGCTTTGCTTGGAAGTGTGCCTGCTTACCCTGAAAAAATATAAAAATAAACATGGCAGACAGTATACCATGGGCAAAGAGGAAACAGTAGAAAGTAATATTACCAGTTTGCCTTCTGTTCAATGCCTTTACTAAGATTGGCTTTTGGCTATGCCTGAACCGCAGTCATTTTACAAGTATGGAAGACCTCGTAAAACAGTCATGTTTGAACACACATGACATTCTCTCAAAGTTCTGAATTTGCCGACAAGTTGAAAAAGTTGTTTATTCCTGGTGTATTCCACAAACAAAACACAAGTTGATTTTCATTGTTGTGCTTAAAGTGCTCAAATAATTTTGATCTCAGATATTAGAATGGAATTTATTATGTGAATAGTGGGTATCCAGAATATGAGCTTTCTCCATAGAGATGGGCATTTTCCACATTTTATAAGAGACAATATTTTGAAATTCATCTCAAGATATGAGGACACTTTTAAAATTACTGGGCTGTATCTTTTTGGTTACTATAGAATAATGTTATTTCTTCGTATACATGAGAGCCAGTTTGGTGTGCTGATAAGTATGCCCACATAGAGTTTTGAATAATGCCCCTCATTATGCCCCTGAAGAAGATGTAGCAAAAATGCCTACTTGTCCTTCTATTTGCTAGATTATCCACTTTGTACATCTTAGTTCCACACACTTCTGGGTGGGTGTTTTGCTTTTGAGAGACCAGATGGAAGAGAAACATTGTGTGCATAAAAGAGGAAAACCCTTTTTCTAGAAATGTAAGTAAAGAATTACTAACAACTCATTCTCACCTACAGGGTGTGTTGATGACATCATAACAGTGCTAGCTGAGGAACATGGATGCTTGGAGATTCTGAAGGTCTGAATTTCTTACTTATATCCACAATGACTAATTATAATTCATAGTGAATTTTTTCTTGAAGCATAAACCAAAATATTTAGTAACAATGTCTTTAAAGAAACTCCTGGATTCTCAGCTTGATTACTCTAAGAATATCCACAGTTACTGGATAGTCATTCTTATCTGCTACATTAAAACTGTTTTTGTTTTTTCAGAATTGGCATATAATAAAACAAATCTGCTGGGTAATGGTCCATGACCATAATAAAGATTGATTGAAAATCTGTTGCAGTATATTTAGTTGATTTTGTTCAGTATAGCAGATATAGTTTATACACCTGTTCTTGATTGTAAATCAGAAGAATATTTATCTTTAATTCATTTTGAAAGAAAGTACCTATTTTTTGGCACATTTTGCTTAGTCTTTGTATATAACATGCAAACATAGCCCACTTGAATGTAGGCACATTTCTCAGATGTTGCTCCAGCCTTGTTGAAACTGTCACTTTAGAATTAAGATGTGTTCAACGTCCATCTGGGTGTCACTGAAAGTGGAATCTTTTGAAAGAGTATTTAGTTGAATATTTGCTATCCTTAATTTATTTAACTTTTAATTAGTCATATGGGTTCATTTGTTGATCTTATTTTATTAGGTTTTTAATCATTTTTATATTTTTCATCATGGCAATTACAATTGCTCCTTGTTTTGCAACTTTGATTAGTTATTGGTTTTAATTTATTTATATATGTGGATATTTATGGCTATTTTAGCTGTCCATTCTTTTGATTAAATCATATAAACCATCTATATTGATTTGATATGAATAAATGAGTTAACTAAATTGAAATTTATATTTTACGCACTAGGAAGTTCCTGAAAATATTTTAGCTCTACTTAAGAAATGTCTTACATTCCAACCTTCCAAACGGTAAGTGTACCTTACAAATACATTAGATAATTAGACTTGAAATAAGCAAAACTACAAAAGTTACATATACAATTTGTTCCTTTGTATTTTATAAAATGAAAACCATGGATATATCAGTCTACTTTGAAAACTGTATGCCCATTAAGTTTAACAAGCTTTTTGTCCATACCTGAACTATGATACAAATCAAGCAGATTCAGACTTGCAGTTCTTTAAGCGTGGACCAAAAGGAAATCATAGATATCAAATAACCATGACTTGTGAATTTTTTTAAATAAAAAAACTTCAGTCACATTTTACAGTTATAGTTAACGTCTAGAAATAGATTGTAGATTCACAAGTTGTGTTGCCAACATAAACAATAAGCAACCAAGAAAGGAAAAGAACCAAGCTCAGAGAGCAGCAAGGACCCCCATTTCAGCCCTGAACTTCAAACAGTTTCCTTTATTGCTAATTGATATTGTTTGATCTTTGACTGTATTATATTCAAGAAGTGTTCTTACGATACCTCTCCTAATTATGCAAGCACTGCCACCCTTCTTTGTGTTTCATGTCCACAGTAATAAATAGTGAGATCACTGACTGAAAATGTCCAGGCCTAGTCCATCTCAAATTGATGATGCCTGAAATGTCAATCTGTAGTCAATTCATTTCATCTTTCACTGTCTTCACTTTTCCTATGTTCATGCAGAATTCTTATTCTGTCTTTGCAAATTTGGATTTTCTTTTTCTGCATGGGTAACATCATCAACATCATCAGTGAGGGTGCTTACTGCAAGGTGATTGAAGGTTTGGTGAACTGGTGTAAGGAAAACAGCCTAGTTTTAAATACCGGAAAAACCAAAAAGATCATTGTGGAGTTCAGAAAAAGCAGGCACAGCCACACTTCTCTGTGCATCAATGATTCACCTGTGGAGATGGTTACCAGCATCAAATTCCTGGGTGTGCAGTTAACAAGTAGGCTGGCTTGGTCGCTTAACAGTGAGTCACTGGTGAAGTGGGCACAGCAGCACCTGCATTTTCTGCGTCGCATGAGAAAAGCACATCTTCCTTCCCCTACCCTTACCACTTTCTACAGAGGGATGATCGAGAGCCTCCTGTCATACAGCATCACAGTCTGGTTTAGAAGCATCACTGCTTCAGGCAGGAAGGTGGTGCAGAGAATGGTGAGGATGGCCGAAAAGATTATTGGCAGTTCCCTCTCTTCCATCCAGGAACGCACATAAGCGTTGCTTGAGCAGGGTCCTTAAGATTGTCTGGCACACTACACATTCTCTTCACAACCTGTTTTCCTTGTTACCTTCTGGGAGGAGGCTCCGTAGTATCTGAAGCAGAACATCCAGATTCATTCACAGTTTTGTTCCATACAGTATTAACCTTGTGAACTCTAAAGCTTCCTCCTTCCGTTATATATTCAAGATGGACAGTGATTAATATTTATATGTTACTTTCATGTAAGGGTGTAGGTCTATGCATATGTTGTATATAGTATGTTTAAATGTGTGTTATGTATGTGTATACTTTGAGAGCAAACAACTAAATTTCATTTTTAATGTGTGCCATTGTGCCCACAGTAAAAAATGACAATAAAGGTTATCTGTCTGTCTGCCTGCCTACCTGCCTATCTGTCTGTCTATCTGTCTATCTATCTACTACATATTGTATTCTGAAGCCCTTAATCTAACCACATCATAAACATATTAATATTCCAAAAGATCCTCAGCTTTTCTCAGTAGTATGTGAAGTACCATCCAAACTGATGGCTCAACATCTGCCACTAGATTGTCAGTCATTTTATATTTTATTCCTGTGTGACTTTCTTAATATACAGGAATAGTTTACCACTGCCTTCTCTTAAATAGTATGGAATTCCTTTGCTGTTCTCATAAAGTAATCTTCCTCCAAATTCTTCCTATATCACCACTGACCAGGATAAATAGCTGACCAGCCTGGCTGACCTTCACATTATGGCTGACCCTTTTGGGATTATATACACTGGAATGTGCTCCTGGCATTTTTTACTTCTTACTCTCAGCAGCAATGCACACATATATACCAAACCATGATGAGGCAGGACTTGGGGTGGATTGTAAAATTGTATCATCAGTTTTAATTTAATAAAACATTCAGTCAGTGGTCATGTCTCTACTTTTGATCCATGCTGCATTCACAAATGGATTATTCTTGTGAGCAGTTGAATGCATAAATAATTTGGCCTTGAGGATTGACTTAAAAAGTTAAAGAGTTTGCAAAATATAATGCTGGGTGATTTGCTTTCATTGCTAATTAAAATACATGCAGTGAAAACAAAGTGCAGTTTATGAAAAATAAGTTTATATATAATACATGTGAGGAAAAGTGCATAGGGATATATGAATGAATGTATATATAATATGCATTGTTTGGATTTTTATTATATTTTTGCCTTCACTTCCTTTTTCTGTTATATCAGGCCTACTCCTGGAAAACTATTGAATGATTCAGTGTTCAGTGAAATCTCATCTTTATATCCAACCTTCCATACACCTGTCAGTTTTTTCTCCTCTAATCTAAGATGTGCTAATTTATCTCTTCCTGAGGATATTAACGAATTATTTAAAGGTAAGGCAACAGATTCCAGCTATTTCCCTAGTTTAACCAGACTAGCATGTGGGAGATGATGAGGCCCTCCTTAGCCATGAAAGCCAGCTGGGTAACCTTAGGCCGGTCACTCCCTTTCAACCCAATTCACCTGACAAGGGTTGCTGTTGTAGGGAAAGTATGAGGAAAGAGTGTTGGATATGTTCACTGCCTTGTAAAAATAATAAAGTCCGGGTACAATAAATAATCTTTTTAGCCATGTTTATTAGTATTGTCCTCTTTCTCCTGAAACATAAAGGTAGCATATACCTGTGCCATTTTAATTCTAAAGTTCTTTGGCCTTTATAACTCTACAACTAGTAACTCTTTTGTATCCTGATAATTTGCAGATTTCAGATACTCACACAAATGTTTCATGCCTAGTTATGTGAACTGAAAACCCAGGCTGTAGATTTTAATGAAATGTTTGCTGGGCAGTTAGATTACAGCCAACTGTAAGGAAAATGATCATATGATAGCATACAAGAAAAACCATAACTGCTGTCAGATCCACAGTGATATGTTCAGGCCCCAGGCTTTTCAATTAAATAAATTCTAGGTAGGAGAATGAGACATGAAAGAGTTGTGACTTTTTAAACAGTGCTGCTTTGGATTAATTAATGGTTTGGTCGGTTAATTACACCTTTTATTCTGTTTGGTAAGGTTGTTTTTTTTTTAAAAAAAAAAGATTTTCAGATTCATTCAAAAGAAAAACTTTGTTATGCAGACATGCTTAAAGCATTTGCATGTAGGCTGGTATCTTCCACATGAATCTATAGTTCTTATCGTCCCCATCTCTCATGGGCATTAGCCATTAGATTTAAGATGATGATTTAGGTTCAGTTTTTCTGAAGACACTGACTTGGAAAAATGGGTGATACTATTCTTACTATAGTTTATGGAACAGACATACACATTTTGGATTAATTTACTCATCTTGAATTCTATTATGTTATTGCTGTTGTATGACATGAGATTGAAGATAAAATCCGTTTGATGAATGAATGAAGTATTTAATAGAATCCTGTCTCTTGTACTTATTGAATTGCTAATAAATTGTTATGGAAACATTGGCATTCTTCCTACAGGGCAGCCAATAGATTGTCTAGCTGGTTTCCTTTTCTTACAATTTTCCCTCCTGTTCAGAGAGAAAATATTGTTTCTATTTGCTAACATGGGAAGGTTTTATCTACAAACTTTTTATTCAGTTTTCAGGGAAAAAATACATGTTTTTGAACCTAGAGAAAAGAAAGGTGCATGAAAATGGATATAATAATTGTCTTTAATAGTTGTCCTTGTTGAATTCTATTAATAGAGGAAAGTTCTGATTATCTAGCAGAAAGGACAATTGAAGAAGTTTATTATCTTTGGTGCTTGGCTGGAGGTGACTTGGAGAAAGAGCTTGTCAACAAGGATATCATTCATTCCAAGCCTCCCATCTGCACACTTCCTATGTAAGATATACAGGCGGAAGGGGAAAGGAAAGCACTCTGTTTTGGGGAATAAAAGCAAGAAAGAAATATATAAGTGATAAAATGAAACTGGCTTTTAAATAGGAACAGGGCCAACAATCTGAAAGTCTACTAGTTGCATTATTCACTATTTGCACTTTCTATTTCCTTGAAAAAGTATGGAAATTTGTAGAAAGGTCTTCAGAGGTGCTCTCTGCAGACATACAGATTCAGTTAAAATATTTCTCAGCTAAACATTTAATTGTATTGATTTTATTTATTTATTTATTTCCATTTCTATAGCTGCCCATTGCAGTCAATGACTTAGTTGCATGATTAATATCATGCAGCTAAACAATTTGATTAAAATTAAGATATAGGTGCCTATAGGTGGATAATCACTTGAAATAGAAATATCCACTTATCCATTTGAAGACAGGTAACAGCAAAAGCTGTTTGCATTTGCAAAATTAACTATACTTATTTTGATTAGCATCCTCAACTTCTCAAATATACTTTTTATGTGTAAATTATGTTAATTAACAAGCAGAAGCAGAGTAAGATTATGTCCCTAAATGTATGAAACTGCAGACTGATCAAGTGTCAGTATAAATGCAATGAAAGCAGTTCTATTGAATATGGGGGGGGGGAGAGAAAAGCCTACATGAGCTAATGCTTGTTGTTATGTTGAAATTTGTTTTCCTTTTTCTTTTTTACTCCTAGTTTTTTGTTTGAAGATGGGGAGAGCTTTGGACAAGGGCGTGATAGAAGTTTCCTTTTGGATGATACAACTGTGACGCTATCACTGTGTCAGCTCAGGAATGTAAGATATTGTGATTCCTTAAAATAAAATATGGATCGTTCATATATTTTATCTGTGTTAGACAAAGTTCTGTAGCCAGTATTATCAGAATGGTCTTTACCTTGTACAAACTAAGAAAAAATTAGTTTGATAACAAGTTAGGCAGCAAATAAATTTAATAAGTAAATAATAAAACATTGTTTTTATTAATTGTTGACTATGTTAAATGGATATTTTTCTAACTGGAAATTTATATAATTTTTATAGAGATTGAAAGATGTTGATGGAGAAGCATTTTATCCATTGCTTGAAGATGAGTAAGTATATAAAATAAATTTTCTGTTTGAGAGGATAGGAATCACTTAGATCCCCAAGAAATTGATTGTTGATCCCCGTAGGTCAGCCATGAATAGTGATTAATAGTAGTTGTATTGTGTTTCTTAATATTACATAGTACAAAGTATTTGTAATATATTATATAAAGTTATTTTATAATAAATTAGGAAATTAAATCAATCAGGCTTCAGTTTATAAAAAGGAAATTGAATTTGTTTTTCACTATACACCCAAGGTGAATATTTCAATTATTTCATTCCCTAGTTTATTTTTATGATTTCTTCTGTTTAAGACATAATACTTTAAGAACTATTTCCTCTGTTGTTTTTTCAGCCAATCAAATATACCTCATTCAAATAGTAACAATGAATTATCTGCTGCTGCCAAACTTCCTCTTATTATTCGAGAGCGGGATACTGAATATCAACTAAATAGGATTGTCCTATTTGACAGACTACTGAAGGTGTGTGGTTTAGAAAGGCATCAAATGCTGTCCTAATTTTGGCTTTATCCATTTAATTTTCCTTGATTAGTTTTGCCATTAACTATGATATTGGCCTTAGTCCTATTTGATATCAGATTAATGCATTTGATCTATAGTATCTTTCAGTATCATTTCAGCATAGAAATGTTAAAAGTATGCTATTAAAAGTATGAAAATATTACTAATACCAGATCGATATGTTATTTCTAGGCCTATCCATATAAAAAAAATCAAATTTGGAAAGAAGCCAGAGTTGACATTCCCCCTCTTATGAGAGGTTTAGCTTGGGCAGCGTTACTTGGAGTAGAGGTAAGATTAAGACAGAGACACAAGAATTGTTTTGTCTGTCTACGCAATATATTCCAACCCTACCTTTTAACTTCCACAAAACATTGGAAATTAGCCTCTGCAAATAAAATTACAACTGACTACAAAATATTAATGAAAAAACAGAATCTGCAGTTTTGGCCCGAAACTATAGCAATGATGCAATGGCACAATTCTTTTGCACCCAGTATATGGAGGTGCAGCGTCAAAGTAGAATTTAAAGGTTGAGTCCGGGAAGTAGACAGATAATTTTGAATTCTTATCTAAACTACATTTGCAATTTGGCACTCCTAATTATCACCTCTTCTTTGAGATATACTATTTGAGCTCTGGCTGAATAAATTCTTAGAAGAGTCCTAATACTTACAGTGGAGTTCTTGATGCTCTCTGCTCTCTCTTGGTGTTTGCTTGCAGGAATTTCATTAGCTGACTAGGTAACATCTTTAGTGGAAGAAATGTTTGCTCACTCTTGACCTATTGGTGGGAAATTGTTTTCTCTTTGGTATTTCCTTGATTAGGTGGTTGTTTACTTCTTGATTGTTTGTCTCAATAGATAATTTTTTGATTAGGCTATTGGTACTGTATTTTTCTGAGATTTATCTTGATGTTAATCCGTCCTTAATTGCTAAACAGTAGTTGTTGGGATTTTTTTTAGCATTTTAATTGACTCTTTTGAATGCTGAAAGTGTTGTTCATCTCTATATACCTGTAAATGGCTGGTTTGTCTTAATTGCCAGCCTCCTAGGAATTCCATAACATTTTTAAATTTATCTTGATCTAGGTTGCCCAAAGTTTCCCAGTTGAAACTATGCTAACTTGGTCCATGTAGTTTGAAATTAAGGAGGTTTTCATCATGTTTTCTGAATGCTGGTTGTCCTGGTGGATACACACTACTAGCCTTCTCCCTGTCTGTCCTATATAGTGACTGTGTAGTAGTCTTTACATGTATGTTGTAGATCAGGGCTTTTCAACCTTTTCACCCATTGTACCACTTTTAGGATGTGGCAATATCCGAATACCACCAGTCGCCTAGCAAGGTGTGAAAAACATAATGATCAAAAAAAAAAGGGGGAAAGGAAAAAAGTGATGAAGTACAGGTAGTCCTTGACTTACAACAGTTCACTTAGTGACCATTCAAAGTTACAATCGCATTGAAAAAAGTGCCCCCCAAGCCACAGCCGAGCAAGGCACCTGCCTTCCCACCCAGTAGCGCTCTTCCTCCTGTCCAAGGTTTTCATTGTTGTGAGCATTTTTGTTGAGGATTGGCAGCAGAGGTGGGGTAAGGGGGTGTTTGGTTTTTATTCCCCCCATCTGCTGGGTGGTTGCAGCAGGTTTTAGTCACTTCACATGACCCTAGGACACTGTGACCATCATAAATATGAATCAGTTGCCAAGCATCTGAATGCAAATCACAAGACCCTGGAGATGCTGCAACATTCCAGCTGATCGGCGCTTCTTCTGGGCTCAGCAGAAACACCAGGATGAGCGCCGAGCTCCAGCTGGATCCTGGCGCTGATCCTGGCGCTTCCGCTGAGCCCTGACAGCCCTGCAGCTCCAGCCATCTCTCGCTCAGGCTTGTGCGGTGCTGCCACCGGTTCAGCTCATTCCCCTCCCCCGCTACCACTTTTCTAGGATGGTCGCATACCACCTGTCAGGTGCCAATGTACCACAGGTGGTACCCGTACCACTGGTTGAAAAGCCCTGTTATAGATGACTCCTGTTTTTTCTTCTTGAACTACTACAAGTTTTTTGTTGTTTAATTGAAATTTTCTAGGGAACTTTGGTATGCTATGTAGTTTTAATAGTCTGTTGGTTGTTTCTGAGATTTTTCTTTGGCAGTGTTAAACTAAAACTTACAGTGTCTTCATTTTAGGGAGATATTCAAGCAAAATATGATGCTATTGATAAGGACACTCCTATTCCTACAGATAGACAGGTAGGTTTTTTGTTCTTTTAAGTGTCATAAGCCTTTGGAATAATAATGTAGGAGCTGACCAGGCTGAGCCCAAGGAAGGGGTCAAACATGCCATCAGTGTCGAGTTTCTTCATGCCCACAAGAGATCTAACTCCAGCCCACCTTGAATTTCATTGACTCTTTATCTACTGCCAATTTGCTTTGACCATTCAGAGAATGTTATTTGAACCACCTTGCTTTCTGATTTCTTATGCCTACACATTGAAGTGTTTCCAAATACTACTTAATAGTACTTATAAATAAAATAACATTGCTACTATAGAAATTCCATTACAATGGAACTATTATTACTCTGTTTAATATATTTGGAATTAAAATTTGTGTACAGTTAGGAATACATTGTGTGACCCATAAATTTGTACTTTAACCAGTCCTCCCTCCCTCTTTCTATCCTTCCTTTCTTTTCAAATTAATATAACCATCCATAACTAACAAATAACTTATACAGCAGCCAAAAAAAACAACAACTAGCACAACAATTAACCATTATACAATCTCAGCCATCCACCTGAGACTCCATAACAACACCAGATCTTCAAGGATTTATGAAAAGTCAGCAAGTCTAATCTCTAGGGGGAATATTGTTCCAGAGGTGGGTGCCACAACTGAAAAGAAATCCTTCCTGAGTCCTGCCATATGATACTCCCTGGAGAATGCTAGTCCTGTCAAATCTTGCAGGACTTGGATATAAATAACCTGGTCCCAAGCCATGAACAACTTTGTAGATAACTACCAGCACCTTGAATGAACCTAGAGGCATACTGGTAATCCATGAAGCTTACATAGCAAAGTGTAAAATGATTCAAATGAGAAGCACCCATAACTGCCTCTTAATCAACAGAAAACTGACATATCTTATAGAATTTATTTATTTATTTATTTATTTATTTATTTATTTATTATATTTTTACCCCGCCCTTCTCCCTGCGGACTCAGGGCGGCTTACAGCCTTTTAAAACAAATACATAAATACAAAAAATACTAAAGTTAAAATGTTAATTAAGATGAAATATTATTAGGCCTTTGTTATTTTAAAAATTATTATAAAACCCAGCTAAAAAATAACCCTTAGGCCAGTCCTGCCAACTTATTATTGGTACAGAACTCCCGCGCCGCCTTCCTTCCCTCTAGGCCCTAGTGGGCCTAGAGACCCCCATCAAGCAAGGTATCCCACCCTCGAGGTTGGCTCTTCCGGGAGGGGGACCCCCAGCGGTCGGCCGTGACAGACCGACTGCCGTGGGACTGGAGACCCACTCTGTGGGAGCGTATCGGCCGATGAGAGGTAATCTAAGGCAGAAGGTAATCTGAGGCAGAAGGCAGAATGGTCATGTTTTATGTAAGATTCAATTCTATAATACCGTATCAGATGTAGTCAAAATTATTGAAATTATATCCATTTATGCAGTAACTTTTTAAATATTTAGCTATGGAAGATCTGCTATAACTTGTTAAAGTTAAGGAGAACTTGTACTTCTTTATGCCTGCAATATATTATATATTTATAAAATTTTATTCTTGAGCTTTTTAGTTGAAAAACTATAATAAAACTAATGGTGGTGATGGCCATGAAATTATACCTAATTCCAGTTTATCCCCATATGCAAGATCATAAAGAGGAAAAACTCATTCTGCCTTTCTTTTCCCATAGTAATGACTTTAATCTTCTTGAAATTGAATATTATGCATGAAGGACAAATAATCTCTCATATTTCTCCTATGATAGAACTCTGCCCTTTGATCTTCTCTCAAGTGCATATAGCAGGATTTTACTACTTCAGATGCTCTGGTTTCAGTTCAATCTATAATTGGGGGCAAGGGAGAAGTCCTAGTAATTATATTTCAAGTTTATGGAGAGTTTGGGATAGCATTTTTAGGTCCTTTGTAAGTCCATTACTGTGAGGATTAGAAAATGCAAATTGATCTTGATGGGAAAATAAGAGTTGAACACTTTTGCAAGGTAAACTATGAAACTCTGGCATTCAGTTAGTATCTAAGGAACACTTAGTGAGTCTTTACGTTGTCTCTCTTTATATTTTCCTATCTTGTCTTTCTATTCGAAGGATTTATACTCTAAGAAAATGCATTTCCCTGTCCAGATATTTGGAGCCTAGAATAAGCCTTCTTTCTCCCAATTTGAACTGTAGAAATTCGGAGGGATTTGGCACCTAGTCTCCTTTTATGGCTTGTTCTGTGCTTCTTCTTGTTGCCTACGTTGTAGATTGAAGTTGACATCCCTCGCTGTCATCAGTATGATGAACTGCTGTCATCACCAGAAGGCCATGCAAAATTTAGGCGGGTTTTGAAAGCCTGGGTAGTTTCTCATCCTGATCTTGTATACTGGCAAGGTTAGTTCAGCTGGCTCCTTTGGTTAGCAGTTACATTTTGCACAGTAAATAAACTAAAACATACAAATGATGCAGTAATTACTCTCAGTTCATTCTACATTCTACCAGCTCTTTTTAAAAAGGTATGTATACTTGCAATGTAAAGAGTTGGTTCTTGCATTGCTTCCAGTGAGTAAATGTATTAATTGGTTTATAGATTTATAGACCACTTTGGTCAATTGACTCTAAGCAGTGTACAAAAGGAACAGCCAAAGTCACTACAACATTCAAAGTAAAACAATAATGTATAATAAAACTATTATAGAATATAACTGCAGTTAAGAATGCAATCAAGCTAAGGAATAATAAGATCATTCATGGGGGTAGAAGCTCCACATCAATAAAATCAAATCAAATCCCAAAGGCCTTGAAGAAGAGCTGAGGTTTCACGAGCTTCGCAGAGTGGAAGCTATCCTTGCCCCAGGGACAGTTGAGGAGCCCTTATGGAAGGGGAATCCCTCCCCCCCCCCGAGAATGCTGAGTTTCAGTTACACCTCTTGATAAGTGGGGACCTTTGGCAGATATTCTTTGTTAGTTAGAACTGTAGTGTTATTTTAATAGCTAAACAGAATATCCACATACCTGAATATAATTCTATGCATATCTGGGAAGAACTGTTCTCAAGCCCATGGCTAGGGCCCTATATCTCACATTTTGGCTTAGAGCCAAAATGATCCAGATTATTGGGATGAAGCATATTTTTTCAAAGAAACTGCTCTAGTATTTATGACTGAAACCATTAAGTCTTCTTAGAAGTAAGGTAGAACTGAGCTCTAAATTTCTGATTTTAGATTTATTTGATATATGAAGCTTTTCAGAAGATGGTCATAAATGGCCACCCCTCCAAACCCATGGATTTATTTATCAATTTACTTGGTGACTGCATCACATATGATAGTTTTGAAAGTGGCCTACTGTATATCTGTAAATAACTTCTGCAGAATATTTAACTATATAATAATGATAAAAACTGTATAATAATTTTTATCTTCTGGATATTCTCAAACTCTATTGACTGTTCAATATTTTTGTATAATTATATCTCCCTGTAGGTCTTGATTCCCTTTGTGCACCTTTCCTGTATCTAAATTTCAACAATGAAGGTAAACATTGTCTTTATGAATATTGAATTCATGCATGCAGTGCATTCTGGAATGAACTACCCCCAGAGATCAGGGTGATCCCTGATCTCCCTTCCTTCCGCCGCGCCCTTAAGACATGGTTATTCCAACTTGCAGGACTGGCCTAGGGGAAAAAATTTTAATGGGGGTTTTAAAGTAATTTTTAACTACTAGACCAATTATTAATATTTGTTTTTAATTATGTTTTTAATTTGTAGTTTTTTGGTAGTAGCATTTTATCTGGTTGTTAGCCGCCCTGAGTCCGCAAGGAGAAGGGCGGGATATAAATTAAATTAATAAATAAATAAATAAATAAATAAATTAAATCCTGATTAGCTCTATGTCTCTTTCACTAGGTTCATTCATATTATACAGCAATTCATGAGTTTGCCACAATACATAAGGCTGGGATACTTGCAGGACTGTCTGTCTCCAATTATCTTGCCCACCTAACTAGATCAAACAGGATTGGCATGTTCTGGGTTAGTTAGTTAACTAGTGTCATCTTATGGCAGTCGGGAAATATGCCATTTCTGTCACCATGCCTACCTTGTGAGACAACATCCCTTGAGATTCAGATTGCCCCAATCCGGCTTATCTTTAGAAAGACCCTGGTTCTTCTCCCAGTATTGGACCAGGTTTTATTCGATCCCCTTTTACCATGTGAGGTGTGATTTGCCTCTAGCATGGCATGTTTTTAATAGCTTTAATTTAGTCAATTTAGTGTTTTTAACTCTGTTAACTACCCAGAATAGGTGAATCAGTAAATAGGTGACCATAATGAAGGAAGGAAGGAAGGAAGGAAGGAAGGAAGGAAGGAAGGAAGGAAGGAAGGAAGGAAGGAAGGAAGGAAGGAAGGAAGGAAGGAAGGAAAAGAAAGAAAGAAAGAAAGGAGGGAGGGAGGGGGGAGGGAGGGAGGATAGTGAAATCAGATAAATTATAACTTCAACTAATAGTTGTTTTCTCATACTTGGTCTATGCATGGGGGTTTATGTAATTTTTCACCTTTTTGTGGAATATAAATGTTAATGAAGAATTCTGTTTGTTGGATTTCCAATATGATTTCAGGGATTTGGATCTAGACTAAAGCAAATTAATTAAATTCCACTGATAAAAGTATAAATGTTCTATTATATTATGTATATTTAAATCTGGATCCAACTGTAGTGTATCTATAAGTTTGCTTAATCTTTGAAAGTACAGATGGAACTCGACTTATGAACACAATTGAGTCCAAAATTTCCATTGCCAAGCAAGACAGTTGTTAAGTGAAGTTTTGCCCCATTTTAGAACCTTTCTTGCCACAATTATTAAGTGAAATCACTGTGGTTGTTAAATTACAAACCTTACAACGTGAATAACCTGGAATTAAGGAGAAACGTCCTAACAGTGAGGACAATTAAACAGTGGAACAGCTTGCACAGAGCAGAAGTTGTGGGTGTTTCATCACTAGAGGTTTTTAAGAAGAGACTAGAAAGTCACTTGTCTGAAATGGTATAAGGGTCTCCTGCTTGAGCAGTGGGTTGGACTAGAAGACCTCCAAGATCCCTTCCAGCTCTATTCTGATTGATTGATTATTGATAGTAACACAGTTGTTAAGGAATATGGCTTCCCCATTGACGTTGCATGTCAGAAGATCGCAAAAGGTGATCACATGACCCCACCACACCGCAACCGTCATAAATTGCCAAGCATCTGAATTTTGATCACGTGACCATGGGGATGCTGCAACAGTTGTAAGTATGAAAACAGTCATAGGTCACATTTTTCAGTGCTGTTGTAATTTTGAACAGTCATTGAATGGTTGTAAGTCAAGGACTACCTGTATTTTTAAGTTTTACAGAATTAAAAGGGAACACTGTAACATTGTTTTCAATTTGTTCTAACAATTGTAATGGTTGGATAAAAAGCTATCTCTCTTTTTGGTTCTTTTTTAGCTTTGGCCTATTCCTGCATGTCTGCTTTTATTCCAAAATATCTCTACAATTTCTTTCTAAAGGATAATTCTCATGTTATTCAAGGTAGGTTTTCTGCTATAAATCTGATTTAAAGCCTTTAAAAGCCTATATACATGTTTTATCTTTTGTAGTTTTCAATTTATAATCAGCTTTGAGATCTAGTGGAAAATACCATACCACAAAAAAATAAAAAAAACCCACCAAAAGTGCAGCTACTACTAACTTGAAACAGTTGCAGTTGCTAAATTGCAGCATGCAGTTTGTTTTGAATTTCCCTAATAAAGCTATGCATTGATCTATTATTTTGATAGTGTTATTATTCCTACATTTTATATTGTTCCTTGTATTGTTGTGATTTTGTTTTAATTATTTTAATAGTAAATATTTTGTTAACTCTTTCCTGGAATTCTGTTGCAATGGTGATTTCATAAANGAAAGGCATCAAATGCTGTCCTAATTTTGGCTTTATCCATTTAATTTTCCTTGATTAGTTTTGCCATTAACTATGATATTGGCCTTAGTCCTATTTGATATCAGATTAATGCATTTGATCTATAGTATCTTTCAGTATCATTTCAGCATAGAAATGTTAAAAGTATGCTATTAAAAGTATGAAAATATTACTAATACCAAATCGATATGTTATTTCTAGGCCTATCCATATAAAAAAAATCAAATTTGGAAAGAAGCCAGAGTTGACATTCCCCCTCTTATGAGAGGTTTAGCTTGGGCAGCGTTACTTGGAGTAGAGGTAAGATTAAGAGAGAGACACAAGAATTGTTTTGTCTGTCTACGCAATATATTCCAACCCTACCTTTTAACTTCCACAAAACGTTGGAAATTAGCCTCTGCAAATAAAATCACAACTGACTACAAAATATTAATGAAAAAACAGAATCTGCAGTTTTGGCCTGAAACTATAGCAATGAGGCAATGGCACAATTCTTTTGCACCCAGTATATGGAGGTGCAGCGTCAAAGTAGAATTTAAAGGTTGAGTGCGGGAAGTAGACAGATAATTTTGAATTCTTATCTAAACTACATTTGCAATTTGGCACTCCGAATTATCGCCTCTTCTTTGAGATATACTATTTGAGCTCTGGCTGAATAAATTCTTAGAAGAGTCCTAATACTTACAGTGGAGTTCTTGATGCTCTCTGCGCTTGGTGTTTGCTTGCAGGAATTTCATTAGCTGACTAGGTAATATCTTTAATGGAAGAAATGTTTGCTCACTCTTGACCTATTGGTGGGAAATTGTTTTCTCTTTGGTATTTCCTTGATTAGGTGGTTGTTTGCTTCTTGATTGTTTGTCTCAATAGATATTTTTTTGATTAGGCTATTGGTACTGTATTTTTCTGAGATTTATCTTGATGTTAATCCGTCCTTAATTGCTAAACAGTAGTTGTTGGGTTTTTTTTTTAGCATTTTAATTGACTCTTTTGAATGCTGAAAGTGTTGTTCATCTCTATATACCTGTGAATGGCTGATTTGTCTTAATTGCCAGCCTCCTAGGAATTCCATAACATTTTTAAATTTATCTTGATCTAGGTTGCCCAAAGTTTCCCAGTTGAAACTATGCTAACTTGGTCCATGTATTTTGAAATTAAGGAGGTTTTCATCATGTTTTCTGAATGCTGGTTGTGCTGGTGGATACACACTACTAGCCTTCCCCCTGTCTGTCCTATATAGTGACTGTATAGTAGTCTTTACACTGTATGTTGTAGACCAGGGCTTTTCAATCTTTTCACCCATTGTACCACTTTTAGGATATGGCAATATCCGAGTATCACCAGTCGCCTAGCAAGGTGTGAAAAACATAATGATCAAAAAAAAGGAAAAAGGAAAAAAGTGATGAAGTACAGGTAGTCCTTGACTTACAACAGTTCACTTAGTGACCGTTCAAAGTTACAATGGCACCGAAAAAGTGTGCCTGCCCACCCAGCAGCGCTCTTCCTCCTGTCCAAGGTTTTCATTGTTGTGAGCATTTTTGTTGAGGATTGGCAGCAGAGGTGGGGTAAGGGGGTGTTTGGTTTTTATACCCCCCCCCCATCTGCTGGGTGGTTGCAGCAGGTTTTAGTTACTTCACATGACCCTAGGACACTGACCATCATAAATATGAATCAGTTGCCAAGCATCTGAATGCAAATCACAAGACCCTGGAGATGCTGCAACATTCCAGCTGATCGGCGCTTCTTCTGGGCTCAGCAGAAGCACCAGGATCAGCGCCGAGCTCCAGCTGGATCCTGGCGCTGATCCTGGTGCTTCCACTGAGCCTGACAGCCCTGCAGCTCCAGCCATCTCTCGCTCAGGCTTGTGCGGTGCTGCCACCGGTTCAGCTCATTCCCCTCCCCCGCTACCACTTTTCTAGGATGGTCGCATACCACCTGTCAGGTGCCAATGTACCACAGGTGGTACCCGTACCACTGGTTGAAAAGCCCTGTTGTAGATGACTCCTGTTTTTCTTCTTGAACTACTACAAGTTTTTTGTTGTTTAATTGAGATTTTCTAGGGAACTTTGGTATGCTATGTAGTTTTAATAGTGTGTTAGTTGTTTCTGAGATTTTTCTTTGGCAGTGTTAAACTAAAACTTACAGTGTCTTCATTTTAGGGAGATATTCAAGCAAAATATGATGCTATTGATAAGGACACTCCTATTCCTACAGATAGACAGGTAGGTTTTTTGTTATTTTAAGTGTCATAAGCCTTTGGAATAATAATGTAGGAGCTGACCAGGCTGAGCCCAAGGAAGGGGTCAAACATGCCATCAGTGTCGAGTTTCTTCATGCCCACAAGAGATCTAACTCCAGCCCACCTTGAATTTCGTTGACTCTTTATCTACTGCCAATTTGCTTTGACCATTAGTAGTTCAGAGAATGTTATTTGAACCACCTTGCTTTCTGATCTCTTGTGCCTACACATTGAAGTGTTTCCAAATACTACTTAATAGTACTTATAAATAAAATAACATTGCTACTATAGAAATTCCATTACAATGGAACTATTATTACTCTGTTTAATATATTTGGAATTAAAATTTGTGTACAGTTAGGAATACATTGTGTGACCCATAAATTTGTACTTTAACCAGTCCTCCCTCCCTCTTTCTATCCTTCCTTTCTTTTCAAATTAATATAACCATCCATAACTAACAAATAACTTATACAGCAGCCCAAAAAAACAACAACTAGCACAACAATTAACCATTATACAGTCTCAGCCATCCACATGAGACTCCATAACAACACCAGATCTTCAAGGATTTATGAAAAGTCAGCAAGTCTAATCTCTAGGGGGAATATTGTTCCAGAGGTGGGAACTGAAAAGAAACCCTTCCTGAGTCCTGCCATATGATACTCCCTGGAGAATGCTAGTCCTGTCAAATCTTGCAGGACTTGGATATAAATAACCTGGTCCCAAGCCATGAACAACTTTGTAGATAACTACCAGCACCTTGAATGAACCTAGAGGCATACTGGTAATCCATGAAGCTTACATAGCAACGTGTAAAATGAATCAAATGAGAAGCACCCATAACTGCCTCTTAATCAACAGAAAACTGACATATCTTATAGAATGGTCATGTTTTATGTAAGAGTCAATTCTATAATACCGTATCAGATATAGTCAAAATTATTGAAATTGTATCCATTTATGCAGTAACTTTTTAAATATTTAGCTATGGAAGATCTGCTATAACTTGTTAAAGTTAAGGAGAACTTGTACTTCTTTATGCCTGCAATATATTATATATTTACAAAATTTTATTCTTGAGCTTTTTAGTTGAAAAACTATAATAAAACTAATGGTGGTGATGGCCATGAAATTATACCTAATTCCAGTTTATCCTCATATGCAAGATCATAAAGAGGAAAAACTCATTCTGCCTTTCTTTTCCCATAGTAATGACTTTAATCTTCTTGAAATTGAATATTATGCATGAAGGACAAATAATCTCTCATATTTCTCCTATGATAGAACTCTGCCCTTTGATCTTCTCTCAAGTGCATATAGCAGGATTTTACTACTTCAGATGCTCTGGTTTCAGTTCAATCTATAATTGGGGGCAAGGGAGAAGTCCTAGTAATTATATTTCAAGTTTATGGAGAGTTTGGGATAGCATTTTTAGGTCCTTTGTAAGTCCATTACTATGAGGATTAGAAAATGCAAATTGATCTTGATGGGAAAATAAGAGTTGAACACTTTTGCAAGGTAAACTATGAAACTCTGGCATTCAGTTAGTATCTAAGGAACACTTAGTGAGTCTTTACGTTGTCTCTCTTTATATTTTTCCTATTTTGTCTTTCTATTCGAAGGATTTATATTCATAAGAAAATGCATTTCCAAATGTTCCCTGTCCAGATATTTGGAGCCTAGAATAAGCCTTCTTTCTCCCAATTTGAACTGTAGAAATTCGGAGGGATTTGGCACCTAGTCTCCTTTTATGGCTTGTTCTGTGCTTCTTCTTGTTGCCTACGTTGTAGATTGAAGTTGACATCCCTCGCTGTCATCAGTATGATGAACTGCTGTCATCACCAGAAGGCCATGCAAAATTTAGGCGGGTTTTGAAAGCCTGGGTAGTTTCTCATCCTGATCTTGTATACTGGCAAGGTTAGTTCAGCTGGCTCCTTTGGTTAGCAGTTACATTTTGCACAGTAAATAAACTAAAACATACAAATGATGCAGTAATTACTCTCAGTTCATTCTACATTCTACCGGCTCTTTTTAAAAAGGTATGTATATTTGCAATGTAAAGAGTCGGTTCTTGCATTGCTTCCAGTGAGTAAATGTATTAATTGGTTTATAGATTTATAGACCACTTTGGTCAGTTGACTCTAAGCGGTGTACAAGAGGAACAGCCAAAGTCACTACAACATTCAAAGTAAAACAATAATGTATAATAAAACTATTATAGAATATAACTGCAGTTAAGAATGCAATCAAGCTAAGGAATAATAAGATCATTCCTGGGGGTAGAAGCTCCACATCCCAAATCAAATCCCAAAGGCCTTGAAGAAGAACTGAGGTTTCATGAGCTTCGCAGAGTGGAAGCTATCCTTGCCCCAGGGTCAGTTGAGGAGCCCTTATGGAAGGGGAATCCCTCCCCCCCAGAGAATGCTGAGTTTCAGTTACACCTCTTGATAAGTGGGGACCTTTGGCAGATATTCTTTGTTAGTTAGAACTGTAGTGTTATTTTAATAGCTAAACAGAATATCCACATACCTGAATATAATTCTATGCATATCTGGGAAGAACTGTTCTCAAGCCCATGGCTAGGGCCCTATATCTCACATTTTGGCTTAGAGCTAAGAATGATCCAGATTATTGAGATGAAGCATATTTTTTCAAAGAAACTGCTCTAGTATTTATGACTGAAACCATTAAGTCTTCTTAGAAGTAGGGTAGAACTGAGCTCTAAATTTCTGATTTTAGATTTATTTGATATATGAAGCTTTTCAGAAGATGGTCATAAATAGCCACCCCTCCAAACCCATGGATTTATTTATCAATTTACTTGGTGACTGCATCACATATGATAGTTTTGAAAGTGGCCTACTGTATATCTGTAAATAATTTCTGCAGAATATTTAACTATATAATAATGATAAAAACTATATAATAATTTTTATCTTCTGGATATTCTCAAACTCTATTGACTGTTCAATATTTTTGTATATTTATATCTTCCTGTAGGTCTTGATTCCCTTTGTGCACCTTTCCTGTATCTAAATTTCAACAATGAAGGTAAACATTGTCTTTATGAATATTGAACTCATGCATGCGGTGCATTAAATCCTGATTAACTCTATGTCTCTGTTTCACTAGGTTCATGCATATTATACAGCAATTCATGAGTTTGCCATAATACATAAGGCTGGGATACTTGCAGGACTGTCTGTCTCCAATTATCTTGCCCACCTAACTAGATCAAACAGGATTGGCATGTTCTGGGTTAGTTAGTTAACTAGTGTCATCTTATGGCAGTCGGTAAACATGCCATTTCTGTCACCATGCCTACCCTGTGAGACAACATCCCTTGAGACTCAGATTGCCCCAATCCAGCTTATTTTTAGAAAGACCCCTGGTTCTTCTCCCAGTATTGGACCAGGTTTTATTCGATCCCCTTTTACCATGTGAGGTGTGATTTGCCTCTAGCATGGCATGTTTTTAATAGCTTTAGTTTAGTCAAGTGTTTTTAACTCTGAGTTAGCTACCCAGAATAGGTGAATCAGTAAATAGGTGACCATAATGAAGAAAGAAAGAAAGAAAGAAAAAGAAAGAAAGAAAGAAAGAAAGAAAGAAAGAAAGAAAGAAAGAAAGAAAGAAAGAAGGATGGAAGGAAGGAAGGAAGGAAGGAAGGAAGGAAGGAAGGAAGGAAGAGGGGAGGGGGATAGATAGTGAAATCAGATAAATCATAATAGTTGTTTTCTCATACTTGGTCTATGCATGGGAGTTTATGTAATTTTTCACCTTTTTGTGGGACATAAATGTTAATGAAGAATTCTGTTTGTTGCATTTCCAATATGATTTCAGGGACTTGGATCTACACTAAAGCAAATTAATTAAATTCCACTGATAAAAGTATAAATGTTCTATTATATTATATATATTTAAATCTGGATCCCTGTAGTGTATCTTAATCTTTGAAAGTACAAGTGGACCTCGACTTATGAACACAATTGAGTCCAAAATTTCCATTGCCAAGCAAGACAGTTGTTAAATGAATTTTTACCCCATTTTACAACCTTTCTTGCCACAATTATTAAGTGAAATCACTGCAGTTGTTAAATTACAAACCTTACAACGTTAATAACCTGGAATTAAGGAGAAATGTCCTAACAGTGAGGACAATTAACCAGTGGAACAGCTTGCACAGAGCAGAAGTTGTGGGTGTTTCATCACTGGAGGTTTTTAAGAAGAGACTAGAAAGTCACTTGTTTGAAACGGTATAAGGGTCTCCTACATGAGCAGTGGGTTGGACTAGAAGACCTCCAAGATCCGTTCCAGCTCTATTCTGATTGATTGATTATTGATAGTAACACAGTTGTTAAGGAATATGGCTTCCCCATTGACGTTGCATGTCAGAAGATCGCAAAAGGTGATCACATGACCCCACCACACCGCAACCATCATAAATTGCCGAGCATCTGAATTTTGATCACGTGACCATGGGGATGCTGCAACAGTTGTAAATATGAAAACAGTCATAGGTCACATTTTTCAGTGCTGTTGTAATTTTGAACAGTCATTAAATGAACGGTTGTAAGTCAAGGACTACCTGTATTTTTAAGTTTTACAGAATTAAAATGGAACACTGTAACATTGTTTTCAATTTGTTCTAACAATTGTAATGGTTGGATAAAAAGCTATGTCTCTTTTTGGTTCTTTTTTAGCTTTGGCCTATTCCTGCATGTCTGCTTTTATTCCAAAATATCTCTATAATTTCTTTCTAAAGGATAATTCTCATGTTATTCAAGGTAGGTTTTCTGCTATAAATCTGATTTAAAGCCTTTAAAAGCCTATATACATGTTTTATCTTTTGTAATTTTCAATTTATAATCGGATTTGAGATCTAGTGGAAAATACCATACCACAAAAATTTTAAAAAACCCACCAAAAGTGCAGCTACTACTAACTTGAAACAGCTGCAGTTGCTAAATTGCAGCATGCAGTTTGTTTTGAATTTCCCTAATAAAGCTATGCATTGATCTATTATTTTGATAGTGTTATTATTCCTACATTTTATATTGTTCCTTGTATTGTTGTGATTTTGTTTTAATTATTTTAATAGTAAATATTTTGTTAACTCTTTCCTGGAATTCTGTTGCAATGGTGATTTCATAAAGCAAAATTCTTGAGGCTGAATTCTTGCTGAAATCATTTCCAAATAGTCTTACCTGTTTATCTTTCTTCCAGAATATCTTACAGTATTTTCCCAAATGATTGCATTCCATGATCCTGAACTGAGTAACCACCTCAATGAAATAGGTTTCATCCCAGATGTAAGTGGAAATGCTTTTTATATATTTTAGTACAGGCAGAAACAGCAGAAAGTTTAATCATCTATATTCACATATCATGGTCCAAAAACAAATTCAATACCAGAATCAATCAAACTCTGATAAGCAGCTATTGAGCAGTCAAAATCTGCAAGATGTGCCATTTAAAATGATTTTCAAAGAAATATTATGATTATCATTTTCTTCATTTCTTCTCACTACTTATCCCTAAGATCACACAATTATATTCAGTATTATGATACTTAATACAGTCTTAATGACATCTAAATTGCCAATGCAGGTAGTCCTCAAGTTACTACCAATCATTTTATGACTGCTTGAAGTTACAACACCCGTGGTACAGGTGCTTTTTACATGGCCAAAAAAGCACTTTCGGCCATTGTAAATGATAAAGCCTCTGCTCCCCATGGCCATGTGACTGTAGGGTGTTCCATGGTTATTTATTATGATTCAAGGTGCTTTTTGACAGTTTCCACCCAAAAAAAGTTCATTCAAAAAAATAGAATCGCTTAATAACCGCAATGTTCACTTAACAATATTTAAAAAGTACTCTTGTTACATGGGTGCCTCAATTTGTGACCAGATTTCTGTACCCAATTACAGTCATAAATCAAGGGCTACTTAAACTTATTTCTGCATTTACAGCATATAGTTTCCTGGTTTTCTGAATATATTCCTGTTGTAATTCAATGGCTTGGGGAGGAGAGATCATTGTCCTGCCTATGCCTACCCATATATTAAATAAGTAATACTCATCTTTCATTGAGAAGTTTAAGTCACATCAGTAAGTTTTTAATGTCCTATCATTAGAATTGAATGTGGACTTAAACTTCTGAATAGAAGTTTACCTCTGGCATTGATTTCGTTTATAAAGAACTTTAATATGCAGTCTTGCACAGTTTAATTTGTGTAATTTCACAGTTTAACTTGTATAATGTAGACATATTTGACAGAATTCTTAGAAATGTTTTCTGTATTGCTTATCATTCACTAGAAAATAAAATCTGTACTTTATTTTAGTACTTGGGACTTTCCAGAATCCATCAAAGTGAAGTATATGCACTTAGCAATACTATTTTCATGCTTGAAAACTGATTAATCTTGTGGGTTTTTCCTGCATGAAGAGGTTGTTCCCTGGATGCTCCTTAATTTTGTCTATAAATAACAGAATAACAAAGTTGGAAGGGACCTTGAAGGTCTTATAGTCCAACCCCCCTGTTCAGGCAGGAAACCCTATACCAGGCATGTCAAACTCACAACGTCACATGACATCGCATGACTTATTGTGACTTTTTCCCCATTGCTGGCAATGGGGTGGGCGCGGTTTCGGAGTTACGCATCCGGCCCGTGGGCCGGCAGTTTGACATGCCTGCCCTATACCATTTCAGACAAATGATTATCCAACCTCTTCTTAAAGAAATGAACTGGAAATTATAAGAAAGAAGTCCTAATCTAAGGATCAGGCAGACACTTACCTTTTGACTTTTATGAGATCTCATTGCACCTGAAAATAAAAAATCAAATATAACCATTAAAAATACAGAAGAAAAACAGTAATATAAAATGAAACTTGACTGAAATTTATTCTGCGTTCCCAAATTGTTCTCTGTTGAGCAATTTGAAAAATTCCTTAAAAGGGGGGAATTTTCACAGCATTGTTGTGGATGTAACATCCTAATGCAGAAGCATATAAATATTCTATTAACTATGGATTACACTTTATTACTGCCCATTGTGTTGTGGAGAACAATAGAGGAATCTTCTCTAAACAAATACTGTGACAAGAAAGGTAGCTGTGCTGTTAACTTGCTTATACCTGGTGAGACGGGTAGGGGGCAGTGTGTACTAAGAAAAGTACAGGAAGTCCTCACCTCGCCAAATAAGCTTAAGCTTGTTTAAAAGTCCCTGAATTCAAGCAAATAGGTTTTAAAATCATAATTACAATATTTGTGGAAAAGTATAATAATACTTTATTATCAATTCAGCACCATCAATAAGTTTAAACAGTTGCAGAACGAGTGATCATTATGTGAGGGCCATCTTATAAGCAGCACTAAAATATAATCAGACTCTACTTTGAAAATTTTAAATTCTAGTTTGGGTAGGATATCATAATAGAGATTTGAAACCACAATCCTGATTTAAACTACTCATATATGTTATAAGTTAGGCTTGCAGAATTCCAACACTGATGTGATTGAAAATTTACAATGATCTACTCTAACAACATATTCTTTTTTCTCCCATGTTGTTGTTATAGCTATATGCTATTCCTTGGTTTCTCACAATGTTTACACGTAAGTATCTTTTCTCATTTTTCATTTATAGGTATATGTTTATTGCATGTGCGTTTTAATATTTTTATTTGGCAATTTCTAATTTAGAGCAATAATCATCATTAAACACTAAACACTCATTGAAGATGCTTATATCCATCCCGTGAATAAATACAATTGTGCACTTAAAGCAATACTAGTGTAAGTTTGCATTTAAAGCAATATTAGTGAAAAACAGAATTATTTTGGTTATATACATTTCAGGATGATATATTTTCATCCTGAATATCTCCCCTTGCTGCTCCACCTGTCACTTACGTTTTGCACAAAATTCTTACTTTTATTCATTCAGTTAAATTTTCAGTTTGTTCTTCAGAAATATATTAGTAGACTTCATCATGATGGTCACTGAATTTTACAATTTTATTTATGTAAACTCATATTTGTATAAATAGATAACAATTTGTATAACATCATATTTTTAAAATGAACTCTATTTTAATTTTACAAAAAAAGTGCCCTCCATATATTGAAAGATTGTGACAATGTGTTGTGCTCATTGTACATAATGGGTTGTGCATAATACATAAGAAATTATCCTACAAATATCCAGTCTGTGGAATAAGGCTCATATTTAACATAAGATTTGCAGTATGTCTACAAATTAACAGTAAGCAATATTTCTAAAGAAAAAGTGGATTTTACCACAGGTACAGTACTGTGAATTCTGATGTAATTTCAAATTTAAAATAGTAATTATTATCCAGAGGCTTGATCACGGTTAGCCTAATATGGTGTAGTTAAATTCAGAAAATACCAGCTGTAGAGGAAAAGTTCTACATTAACCTCTGAATCTTGGCTTCCAGTAGGAAATGAGGTTCAGATTATAGAATAGCATCTTTTAAATAAATACAAAATTATTTGGCCCTATTTCCTTGTTATGTTAATGTCAACCAATAACATGGGGAGAGATTATAATACCACAATTCTCTGCCTGCATGTGGCATCAGATCATAATGAATGTTGCAGTATACATTTCATTAGTAATATTAAGGTGGGTATCTAGTTGCCTTCAAGAGTTATAAATCAACATGTGACAAAAAAAATCTCTCCAGCAGTTCAGGCTACATACTGTTCTTAATTTACGTATAAAGGAGTTGGAGTGATATTGTGGTGTTATATATACAGTATATGCACATACATGTGTGTGTGTATGTGCATGTGTGTAATCTAATCCAATATTTTGAAATTACATTTTACCAATGGGCATAACAGCATTTGAAGATAAACTGGGATATATGCAACTTCCCTAAAACCTGTTATCAAGAAAGGTTGTGCTAAAACATACAGAATTAACAGACAGTATTGGCCATGCCATCGTATTCCAAGGGTACCAGGTTTAAGTCTACTCCTTGATTTTAGCATCTACATGCTGCTACAAGACTTTGGACCATGATTCTTACTTTCCCCTTTATTTTGTCCAAAGAAGAATTTTAGAAGCTGGTATTCCTGCCTTTTTTCTTCATTAATGCTGTGGCTTTATCTGAAATAGGCAAAGGGTTAATATTAAGAGTATCAAGATTGGCTAGTTTTAAAACTGATAATAATTACTGTTAAATCACAAATCCCTGGTTTAGATAAAATGGGAAGATACGGTTTACAATTCATTCCAGCTATATCAGAGGACTAAGAAGGAAGTCTTTTACACTAAATTCTGATTTATGTAATGAGTGAACTAATGAAACACTTCCTCCAAGTGATTTCTCTATTCTATTGATTATTATGATTACATTGCCCAGATAAGGAAATTGTTGATCCTTGCATCAGTTTAAATTAAAAAGAATAATAAACATACAGTAACATTACTTGAATGCAGCACTGATTTTAAACAAGGTATTGGAAGAAGACAGCAGGATCATCTAACAATCTTCAGTATTTCAAAATTAGTGATTCAGGTAATCTCTGATACTGATACTCATGCCTGAAATCAATTGTGACATGGATTGTGCAGTGTTTCTTAATCCAGATTGCATAAGGATGTTCTGAAGCTTGAATACATGTGAACAAAGCAGCTAGGACAGGGGTGTCAAACTGCCGGCCCGTGGGCCGGACACGTCATCCGGAAGCTGTGCCCACCCCATTGCCGGCAATGGCAAAACCGTCCTGATATGTTGCGTGACGTCACATGACGTCGCGAGTTTGACATGTCTGAGCTAGGACTTCTCCTAAGATAACGTGGTAGCCTTAGAAGGCATTGCATGATTCCATGAGAAGTTCTAAATGGTCCTGGATGGATACTATTTTCACATTCTTGTGACCATTCCAAAAGGAACTTTTCCAAATTATTGCTAAAGAGTTGCCCAACCCTACTCTTTGGTATTGCACTACTTCACATTAAGAATTACTAGGAGAAGATTGAACGAATGTGCTTTTGCCTACATCACAAATATTTAGATGTACTTTTTTGGGGGGGGGGGGCATTGAGGGAACTGTACTGAAACTCAGACTTGGTGAATAGATGAAATGTATGTTGCGGGATCTAATCTGGGTCGGTCACCGGGACCAGAGGTTTAGTCTTTTGAGCTTTTGGTCTTGTGCTGGAGCCCATCCTTGGGGAACTTCTCTGTGACACATTCCAGTGGAGAGAAGTTCCCTGAGGATGGTCTCCAGCAGGAATCCCAAAACTCAGAAGACAAAATCTCTGGTCCTGGTGACAATTGGATCCTGCAACATTATCCTGGGACATGTACATTTGCTTTCATTCGTAAAGTATGTTGTTGTCTTCTTTATCTTTTGCTTGTTTTTTTTTAATTTTTACCCAAATTTTATTTCTTCTGCCCTATTTTTATGGCTGCCTGGTAAAATATATTAATTGGTTTCAAGACACTGTCCCCTTAGTATATTTTGTAGTCCAAATAAGATCGGGCCCTGGGTTTCATAAATATCCCTGTTAAAACACTTATACTTTGGCCCTTCTTTTTCATAATACCCTACATTGCTATCTAAAATAAGAGACACAATAGAAACTGCTTTAGAGGCTCTTCTCATTTATACTTATTGTGGAATTGTCCATCTCCTCTTGCCAACTGCATTCTAGGGGAAAAAATAAATCTCTCTTAAGTCTTTTGTACTCTCTTGTGCCTGTTGCCTGATTACCTATTTGGCATTTCAAAAACAAACAAACCTGAAAACTATTCTCCCCCAGTTGATATTTCTTTGTTGGCTGCCTTACAGATGTCTTTCCTTTGCACAAAATCTTTCATCTGTGGGATACATTACTACTGGGAAACTCTTCCTTCCCATTCTGTATTGGAGTAGCTATTCTACAGCAACTGAGGGATCGTCTTCTCTCCAATGGATTCAACGAGTGCATTTTGCTGTTTTCTGATTTACCAGGTATTATTTTTATCAGTCGTATATCTTTGTTGGATATCCTTTGTTCTGATTGATATATATTCCTAATTTATTAGAATTTGAATAGGAAAGAATTAGTGTGAATTGGTAATTATGTTGTACTGAATACATTTTTATTTGGCTGTAGGCAGCCTTTGTTAAACTGAAAGAGATAAATTTGATTTTTTTTTCTAAGAAACATGCAAAGCAAGTTGAAATTACTACATGAGAAAATTACTGGCTAAGATAACACAAGAAAAAAATCAGGCATTAAGGGGCCTCTTTTAGGAATAATTCTATTTTTGGTAAAGAACCAGAATACCAGTGAGCCCTGGTTTACTTTTTAACATCTCAGTGAAATAATCTTGGCATCTCAACTAAAGCTCTTAAAACCATCTAAGAACTAAGGATCTTTGTTAAATGGTTGGGACTGGCTCCTAGCTAAGATTTTAAAGAGCCGTTCTTAGTTGAAGTAGAGTTCTGAACTAGTTCATTATGTGAATTTATGTGTAACCAAATAGATGTTGCAGTCATTGGTATGCTGTAGCCATTTCTCTTTGTCATTCAAAACCTAAGAGATTACATAGCGTTTCTCTTCAAAGATGATGTGGCATATACTTCAGATCACAGTCTAGAGTAACTGTTCCCAAACTGGTGCTCACCAGGTATGTAGAAATATAATTCTCAGAATTCCTACTTAATGTAGACATTGGCTAGGCCAAATGTGACAGGACAATTTGAACCAGCACTGACCATATGAATTCTGTGGTCTGCAAAAGGCCCCAGGAAGGCCTTTGTGCAGGTCCTAAAATTCAGCAGCTAGGGTAAATTCAGTTGCACACTTTCTGTAGTCAAAATTGTTCCATTGCCATTCAGGCTGATTCTCCTTTGATCTGAGGAAAAGGCAAGCTTCATGGAAGAGACGTATTCTCATGAATAGTGTGGGCCCTTGAGAGCCTGCATCAGCATTTGATGTAATCCTGGGATTGCAAAAGGGTATCCACCTTGCATGGTTGCATTGACATGTACATGCACGTACTCACCTGTACACATAAATATGAAATGAAGCTTTAGGTTTCATGCTGTTACTTCCACAGAAAGTCCTGAACTTAATAAAATATAGCTTATATTTTTCAAATCGGTGTTACATAAGAACTTTTTCTGAATCAACTATTTCCCCTGGAATTTTTTATCCAAAACAGCAAATGTTGTACTTACAGCATGCATAATTTAAATGTGAAGTATGTAACCATACTTCCCAATTAGCGTGTTACCTGATCTTCCCAATATGACACTGCCAGTTTAAAATTCTCTTTTCATACTTTTGTTTGTGTTGTAGATATTTGTCAGAAAAGAGAGACATTTTAACAAATCTCAATTCTAATATTACAGTCCTGCCATGAATCATTCAAATCAGAGAGAGGGAATAAGAGACTTCCTTTGAATATTAAGTATTTCTTTCTAATCTTTTTGATTAAAACTATTTGTTTCTTGAATCTAAATGATCTAGATTAGGACTGTGCAGCACTTACAATTTAAAGACTCAAAAGAGTAATTTGAAGCATGTAGCAGATGTTTAGAAGTCCTTAAAACACTGATTGATTAAATATTTATACTTCATGCCCATTTTATAACCCAGGGCTTTTCAGCCTTTTCACCCATTGTACCATTTTTAGGATATGGCAATGTCCGAGTACCACCAGTCGCCTAGCAAGGGGTCAAAAACTTGATGACCCAAAAGAAAAAGAAAAAAGTGATAAAGTACAGGTAGTCTTCGACTTACAACAGTTCGCTTAGTGACTGTTCGAAGTTACAATGGCACTGAAAAAAGTGCCCCCCAAGCCACAGCTGAGCAAGACACCTGCCTGCCCGCCCGGCTGCGCTCTTCCTCCTGTCCGAGGTTTTCATTGTTGTGAGCATTTCTGTTGAGGATTGGCAGCGGGGGTGGGGGGGGTGTTTGGTTTTTATTCTCCCCGTCTGCTGGGTGGTTGCAGCAGGTTTTGGTCACTTCACATGACCCTGGGACACTGTGACCGTCATAAATATGAATCAGTTGCCAAGCATCTAAATGTAAATCACAAGACCCTGGAGATGCTGCAACATTCCAGCTGATCGGCGCTTCTTCTGGGCTCAGCAGAAGTGCCAGGATCAGCGCCGAGCTCCAGCTGGAGCCTGGCGCTGATCCTGGCGCTTCCGCTGAGCCCTGACAGCCCTGCAGCTCCAGCCATCTCTCGCTCAGGCTTGTGCGGTGCTGCCACCGGTTCAGCTCATTCCCCTCCCCCACTACCACTTTTCTGGGATGGTCGCGTACCACCTGCGAGGTGCCAATGTACCACAGGTGGTACCCGTACCACTGGTTGAAAAGCCCTGTTATAACCAACTCTGGGTGGCTCATATTTTCCCAGAAACTTGCAGCTCTCTTCCATGGCTGTAGCATGCTTCATGAAAAGATATGGCTGCTTTACGGAATGACAGAGAGGTGATACAAGTTGGCCTCCATGTGTTCCAAAACATCTTTTGATTGCAGCAACTGGATCATGAAGCATCAAGAAATGTACAGATACTAAAAATAGCTCAAATATGTAAACAATTTTATTAGCAAGTGGGAATGGAGCTAATGTTTTTTCTGAGCACGTATCAAGTAGCAAGCTTATTGCTTCGTGGAGAAAATAGTCACAGAACATTAGGATTTTTTATTATTATTTCTGTTCCACAGATAGACACACGGACAGAATGTTTGTAGAAGAGTTTTCTTTATCCTTATGAATTTTTGAATTAAGTATGTCTGATGGCTTTGACCAGGAACAAGAAGCAGATGTGTTTATACAACAGGTCTCAAAACTTCATCAAAGGTGTATAATGGTATTATGAAACAAAAGCTATTCATAGTTGCCAATATTGAATAGCTTGCAGCCAAGTATGAAGTAGAGAATCTGGCTTTGGTAGAAAAAGAAAGTGATTTGTTTCCACACACCTGTTTATCAAAGACATTCTGTAATGCCATGAACTGCAAAATAGATGCCATTTAACCTAAGGCTGATAATTCTTATAATTATTCACGTTTTCCACCCGATCTGCATAATGTTTATAAATCCATGCTGATTACTTTTTCAAGAATTATCTTAACATTTTGCTGAACACATATCAAGCCATAATTATTCATGTATTTGCACTTACTGATTGGTCAATGGTAAATAGATAACTATTAGATCAGGGGTGTCAAACTGCCAGTCCATGGGCCGGACGCATCACAAGGAAACCGCGCCCACCCCATTGACGGCAATGGGGAAAAAGTTCCGATACATCAGGTGACGTCGCAAGTTTGACATGTCTGTATTAGATAGTCTTTTTTCCCCAGGATTCAGGCTAGGGGAGTAGGCAAACTTTATTGCTGATATGATTTTATGATGGAAGTCTATGATTTATTTTGGGCATCTTGGATTATTGTTTATAACTTTGGGGTTTTAAATCTTTGTGTGCCACCCTAGATGAACAGCCTTATAAATTATTTAAGTGAATGTCATTGAGTGCCCTTTCTCTAATAAAAGCTCATTTTGTCCTCTGGACAGATTTTTTAATGTTTAATTTGGTCCTCACAAGTTTGCTCCAGGTGGGGAGGGATCTTCTAGAATGAATGGATTAAAGATTTAATTTAAGAATTAAGGATCGAATCCATGTCACTTAAAGAGCCTTCTATCAGTGGAGAAAACTCCTGTATAAAACAGTTGGGGTACAGTTTTAACATCTAGTAGTTGAAATTTTGATATAGTGCTCAGACTTTCTTGCTAAATATTTGTTATGATAGAACTGGTAAGGATTTGTTCTTGGGTATGCAAATATTTCATTTGTTTTAAAATACAGATGCCACTGAGTTGAGTCTTAGCCCAGGATCGTACATTCAAAGGGTTGCGATCCTGACCAATCCCAGCAATAATGCACATTCCAATGATTTCCTTGATTCTGACTTTTCTTCTTATTCATTGTCTTCCTTTCTTGAACTTATTTCAGTCTCACTTAAGCAGTCTCTTTTCTTGTCCATCATCTTCTTACATCACCTTCTCAAATTGGTGAGTTTCTTTTTGCCAGTCATCACCTCAAGGGAGTAGTTGATTTTATTTGATCCATGATTATTGGGTTTCTTGCAGTTCAGAGTAGTCTTAGTAACGATCATCAAGTTCATAATTAGAAAGCATCTACCAACTTTTTCAAGCATATTGTCCAGCTTACACAGCCATACGTTACTGCTAGAATGTCTGTTCTTCTACTCTGATTGTGACTATTGTACAACAACCTTTCGATCTCGCAACAACCTTTATCTTTCTAAATTTGTCTTGTCATTTCCTCCCTCCCTAGGATTAATCATCCTTTTAGTACTCCAGAATATTGTCTGTGTAGTTGCTAAGACTTGACCCTGACTTGATGGCATATAATCAGAATGTCTTCCATCTTTACTGTTCTTCAGCCTAAGAAAACAAAACTATTTATGCTTTTGTTCTTTCAAAGTTAATTGTGACTCCATTGAGCATACTGAGTTGTATTACCTCTGTCTTCCTAATATTTAGCAAGTTTTTCACAAGGAGTTCTTCCAAGTTGTCTTTTCTTTGTGTGTTGTTTTGACCTTCAGTTTTGATTGCAGCTGCCATCTCTTTCAATACTGCCATTCTTATAAAATCTTTACAAGCCAAGCAGATATGGGAGGTAACAAACACATTGTTTCTCATTCCCTTTCTTAGTTTGAACCAATCTGTTTCTTCAGATCCAGTTCTTACATTAGCTTTCTGTCTATTATAATGATTCCTAAGAAGAATAATCAGAATACACATATGCCTTAATGTATTTCACATTCTGGTATGATCTCGCCATCCAAACATCTTGTAATCAATAATGCATAGATAAAGATCCTTCTTATGTTCTCTTGCTCTCAATTATCCATCTTATATTAGTTAAATAATATAATTTGATTATTATTATTATGATGATGCACCTTATTTTCTCTGAAACTGGGTTATTCATCTGTCATTTCTGTGTTTATGTATCTATTCTTTCTAAGATCTGAAGCAAAATTTAATTATTACAATGGTTTGATAGTTTGCATATCATCTTGCAAATATTTTCCTTTTTTAGAATAGGAATAAGGACCTTTCCCAATCTCTAAGTCACAGTTTTGTTTTATAGGTGTTGACACAAAGCAGTATTTAAACTACTTCTTTAAGCAGTTTGATAGGTTCTTCATCTGTGCCTGATTAAGAATCTTTTGGCAGCAATTCTATTGCTTTTTATACCTCAATTTCTAGTGAATTTCTTAAATGCTTTCTCTTTGCAAACTGGAAGACTGTGAGATCTAGTCCTGTCTTATGCAGAAAACTAGCTGGGTGGCCTTGGGCCAGTCATGCATACTCTCAGAAGGAGACAATAAAAAAACTACTTCCAAGAAAATTTGTTAAGAAAACTGCACACACACGCGCACACACACACACACACACACAGAGAGAGAGAGAGAGAGAGAGATTATTTTTTCCCCTTCAACCCCTCACACTGAGTCATGCCTTCAACTGTATTTCAGATAGATCATCTTAGTAGTGGCCAACTCTGAATTACCTAAACTCTCTTATTTTATAAACCCAGTACAATAGACTGGATTAGAGGTGTTGTTTCGTCTGCTCCCAACAAAAGATGCCGCTCATCTTTGTTTTGCTCTCTGTGATCCTCTGGTAAGTACCCTGCCAGACAAAGGTCCCTCAATATCTTAGCCCCTCTTGCTCAGCCTCATTGCCTTCCAGTTCTGCTCCAGTGGCTGTTCGCCCATTGGCTCCTCAGACTGTCTGGCGTGCAGCTTCTGAGGGCATGAGAAGACATCATAATCATTTTCAAAGGGAAGAGTGTGTTACAAACTTGTTTTTCTTTGCAGCACATCTAAAGAAACAGGTATATCCAAAGAAACAGGTATTTGTAGTAATTGCAAAATTGGAAACGCATTTTGGACTTACAATAGAGCATATGATGAGATCTCTTCAGATAGATCACAGCTTAAAATCAGATACATTATGAATTATATATCCCAAAACAATGGGATGTATATGCAAGGCTACATAAGGGAAGAATTTCTGCAGGTCATCTATGTGTTCCTTTTTTATTATTATTATTATGGAGCACTGGACTATTTGTGTTCTGTATAGAGTGACCTAACCTAGGAAATAGACTGTTTGAGGCTGAGAGTCCAGTTCTTAAAGCCAATTTTGAGATGGAAAAAACATTGATCATTCCTAAATTTCCCTTTGCATGGCAATTCATTTCAAAGGAGAAGGCTTTAAAGTGGATTAAAAGAATTGCAAGCTTATGTGAGACTGCGTGGTTCATTTTTTTTCTACTGTTATTCATATAACATTTTGTTAATTTTATTTTTTCCTATGATCAGTCTTTGCAGAAAGATTGTTATTCCTCAAAAAAGTATCTTTCGTTATCTATCTGTGTTTGTCTTGTGTTATCAACTAACTCTGAAAAGTCTCTATGCATTAATATATTACTATGGATTGCTAGGTGCAATTCAAGTTTTTCCTATCTCTGATAACTTTGTACTAGTGTATGAGAAGTATATCAAATGAGAAATATTAAGTATAAGTTCTGTATTTTGAAAACTCAATAGGATTTTTTTCGTTAGTGCAGATCATTAAATCTTCAGCAAGCAAATTGATTAGCCAGACTTCCTTAATTTTTATGAATAACCTGTAGATGGTTTCAAGCTAGATTGCTATGAATTATGAATTTGAGAAAGAAGGAGAATTTGAATTTTATTGAAAGTTTATTATTAATGTTTATCCTTCCTATATGTCTTTATCCTGATTTCAGACACACGGGGCAGATTATTAGGATACAGTGGGTTTTTTGTATAAAAGACAGGACACTACTCCAAAATAGAAGAAATAAATTGCCATAAGTAAAAGAAAAAAATAAACATTAATAGACATAAAGACAGTTTTACAGTATATATAAATATTTTTGAAACTTTAGTAAGAGATTATTCTAACCATTCATACTCAACAATTAACCCATTTTACGGTACTTCTTTTTATACTGGTAGTTTTTGGCCTACTAAGATTATAAAAACATTGTTTATTACTAATTGTATCATATTATTTACAATTTTCCAATTTTTATTTTCCAATTTTATTACCACAGTTTTGTCAAATGGTGAAAGCCAGCCAACTTGACTGCAAATTTTATTTCTTTATTCAGTTTATATGCTTCCTGGAGGTGACTCTAGGTGACTTAAAAATTCAGAGACTTTGCTTTGCAGCGTGTTTTAATTTCTTTGTCAATTTCTTAGTTCCCCTAAACCTTTTTTTGCCACATCTTACCATAATTACATTGCAGAATGCCCACAAATTGTAATTACTGTACTTGTAGCTTAAAGCCTATACTTCATCTGAATTTGTGTCTTAAACCTTGTTCTTTTCTCTTGGTTACATGCCAGTAGAGGACAAATGTTTCTTGTTTCTTTTATCATATTTACATAGTTATATTAAAAAACAAAATAAATTTATTTTAGAATAATGTGTTCTTTTAAAAAATGCTTGTCAACTGCAGTTTTTGTTCTTATTACTCATTTCTTTCATTTTTTCATTGGTGTCTCCTTTTCAGAAATCGATATTGAACGGTGTGTCCATGAATCAATTAACCTTTTCTGCTGGACTCCCAAGAGTGCCACATATAGACAATATGCACAACATCCCAAACAAACCAGTGAAGGCAACTCTACAAGAAATCTAATATATTGTTTCTCATCAGACTATCAGGATGCATCCAGGAGTGACCTGGTGAGTTATTTAGTTGTCTTTCATTAGAAAAGAGTAGAAGGTTTAAATATTTTAGGGCTTTTTAGAATTGGATTTATTTATTCATTCATTGGGTTTAAATCCTCCCTTTCTGCTAAATCACAAGCCTGAAAAATAGTGATGGCTTATGTTGTCCATGAAATGTTCATTGCTAAAGATGGACTTGAACCTTAGTTACATTGTGTTCCTAGTCTAACAGCTTAACAACTAATTCTTATACACTTTGATATCATCCTATGGAAGAAAAATGAATGGGTGTGGCTATCATTAGACATAATAAGTTAAGAGTCTCAACCAATAAGTGTACAAAGTGTTGGCAGGTTGCTATATGGAGCTATCTATATATGTCATCTTTTCAAGAATGTTGGAATTACACTTGTACTTTGTCTCATGCATCAAAAAACCTTGGAGAACTCTGAATGGGTAAGCAGTATAATAAAATTCTAACACAATGAAATGAAATGAAATGAAATTTTCCTTCAGTCATTGATCAGCATAAGAAGGAAAAAAATGCAATTAAGTTTAAAAACTAAAAATATAAAATACACAAAGTTTAAAAAAAACATTTTGAAAAATAAAAAAAAACTATATAAAACAAAAATACAAAGTGATTTGATTTGGTTTGATGCAATTAATTGTAGTGAGTGGGTGAAATAAAATGAACCAAATAGTGGTGTGAGGAACATTTGAAATGTGAAAGGATTCATGTTCAACACACCTGCTTTGAGTTTGAAACAGCTGGTCCATATCAAGATTGGAACACTTCTGGAATGTCGGAAGAGCATCAAAACATTTGCACTGGAACTGTTTGCTTCAAACCCAAAATATTTCAAATTTGAAATGGTTTGTATGCTTCTAAAACCTAATGTGCTAGCAGTGTCATAATGATTCATATTATGTATAACTACACTGTGACAAATATGTGTAACACTTATGATACATTATTGATTTAAACACTGAGTATTCCATTCTTAATTGATTTATATACATGAAGGAAGAAATGTTAGCTCTCTGGATTTTTTGTTAGACAACACTTGCTTGTAAAATTATGAATAGATATACTATCAGAAAAAAAACTATGACAAGAAAGATTTCAAAAGAAAACATTCTGAATAAGTTTGCAAGCCCATTTTTGTAGTGACTGTTGAGGAAATAAGAGTTTGGATCAAGCTGACTTCTACCTTTGGAGGATCTTTGCTCTTTACAGGTGGAGAAACCGAAACAGTCCCTTCTTCCTTTCTGAAGGTCAAGATGGTACAAGGTTTGGCAGCAATTCAATTCACATCCCAGAGTTTCTTAGAAAATGGCGGTCAAAGCTCTTGTCCATGCTACTCCTTGGATCACACAGAGATTCTTTACTATGTATAGGAAGGAGTTTGATTCTTCACCCATCTCCAAATCCCATTATATCAGGCTTGCTTGTTTAAGGGAAAAGGCCTAGCCCTTTTTAGTTTCCTTCTGCATTTCAAATGGAAAATAGAGTTTATATAGATTCTGTATACAGACTATTTGGCAGGAGCCTGTACTTCTGATAAATAAATTCAACATCTTAAAGATGGCATACCAGTTCCGGAAGATTTATTACTTAGTAAGCTCTAAAACCAATGATACTGAAGATTAATTTGTAAAAGTTACATTCATAGCCAAACATATTGGCATTGTGTAGTAGCAACAGTCAGAAATAGAATTGTTGGCAAATCTAGCAACTGTTTCCTACAGCAGGCAGAAATTATATTCCATCTTTTCCGTTGCATCCCATTAAATTATCCTTTTCATCAGTTGTATGGTGCATACCATCCCATTAACAGTTATCCCAAAAATCTAAATGACAATTTTGTTCCAGTAGATTCAGCTCCAAGAGTGATTGAGTTTCTATCTTAATATGGAGAACACATTTACAATAGGTATTAAGGTTCTTGGAATAATAATTTTTTTTTTACCATATAGCATTCATTTCCCTCTTTTCGGTATTATTTTGTTATCAGAGTCAGTTTCTGCTTCTCTTGGGAGACTAAGAAGCCTCCTATCTAAGGGACTATCAAACACATCCCCCTGTCAAAACTGCTTGTATTATATCATGGAGACCATTATCTCCAAAAACCAAAGAGACTTTCAAGTTATTTTGGATCTCTGAGATATGTCATTTTCTAAACTTTAGTTTATCTCACTTAGAATTTCAGTTTAATTGAAGAATGCTGGTTTCATTGATGGGATTTATCAAATTCTCCTGTCTTTTTTTTCACTCTGCTTGATTATAGATAGTACCTTTGTTTCTGATTGGGTAAGTCTGTATTATCTCAATAAGCCTTGCTATGACACCAGAATCTTTACAAACTTTCTAGAAGTCATGAATATTTATTTGTATTTGCGTTAAATTACAGTATACTTGTATTTAGATAACTGGTCAGTAGTTTTGTCTTTTAGATACTCTGGAACATGTTCATATCATATCACTTATCTAATAATGCAAGGCTTATTGTACATGTTCTTGTCAATTGGGCATTAGCCTCTTTTCAAGGCTTCATGTGAAGTCTCTCAAGGCCTAATTATTCCGCTGCTATCTTATCTTTTCTTGTTCCTTTCCTTCTTTCTTTTTTCTCTCTGCCCCCATACCATTTATTTCACTCATTGCAAAAGCATGCCATATAGGTGAGGAGCACATTGTTAAAGCAAGTAGCTATAGAAACTACATTATTCCATGGTTCACAAACTTCCTATCAACCAGCTAGAATTCTCAGCAGCGTTCAAGATACTGTGTGCCTTCACCCAGTTACTGTATAGCAGGTCAGGATCCGCATTAACCATTTAACAGTGACATCATAATTCAGAAATCAAATAGCACACAATTAGTATCACTATTCAATCTCCTTACCGAACTGTGATTGGTGTACTTACCGATGTGTGTTCATTTGGTGATAAAAACAGTGTTTTGCCATTCTTCATTTTTACTCTGTGGAGAGGTAACATACTTACCTCAACTGTTAATGGTCGGACTTTATTTATTCATTTATAAAATAATTTGTATACTATTCCATTCAACAATTAAATATCTTCAGTAAAACACTTCACATTTTCAATATTAAACCAAAAATGGTCTTGGTGCCAACTCACTGGGAGATACTTTCCAATTGTGCAAAAGTACATATTTATATACCTTCGGCCCCTACAGCTACTGACTACCAGGGTCATTTCCAAAATTAATTGCCATGATGAAATTTGCATTGATTGTTTGATGATCCTGGCAGTGTCCCTGTGCTGCAAATACATTTTTCTTTTGTCTTTGACCAGGTGGAACTTGCTATTTTATTTTTACATCCACATTTACTCATTCTTAGATTTATCATGTACTATTTATAACTGACCTTTTCCTCTTTAGTAAGTACAGTCTCCAGCACAGAAAGCCTAAGTAACAACATTTTTATATTCTCTACTTTGCTTACAATATCCTTTTTCTTCGTTGATCTTCCCAGGTTCTTGTTGACAAGGGAGAAATAACTTTTCTTCTTGTCTTCAAAGTATTATCTTTCAGCAACTGCTTTTTTCACGGTTCTGTCAACCCGCCCCCCCCTCCTCTCTCCCTTCCATTCTGTCTCTTCACCCAACTATTACCAGTTTTTGAAAAGTCTTAACAGTTGTTTTCGAATGTGTCCACCACACTGTTTCAAGTTGGAACTTGAAAACTTGTTGTCTCTCTGCTGCTTGTAGCCCTTTATAAACTACTGGGCAGCTATGCAAACCATCTTCTCCTTTGGAAGACAGTAGCATTATCGGTAACAATCAGTGTTGGTGAGTGAATTTTCAATCCTTTTGCTCAGTACTATTTTTGAGGGGAAAGTAATTTTATTTATCTCCAGAATGCTCTATGTCAGGGGTAGGCAACCTTGGCTCTTTTATGACTCGTGGACTTCAACTCCCAGAATTCCTGAGCCAGCTCAGGGGTAGGCAACCTTGGCTCTTTTATGACTCGTGGACTTCAACTCCCAGAATTCAGGAATTCTGGGAGTTGAAGTCCACGAGTCATAAAAGAGCCAATGTTGCCTACCCCTGCTCTATGTGTACCAGGAACTGGTCCTTTCCATTTTCTTTCAGAATACATCTACAGGACTCTCTAAATGCCCTTGGCATCAAAAGGTGATTGTTTTCTCTGTCTTTCTTGTCATATCCACACTTCTTCATTTTATATGCTAGACAGAAGCAGGACTTTCCAATTTCATTGTGGTGTTTATTCAATTAGATAACAGTGTCTATGATTTGGCAAAACACTTTCAGCTTTCAGAACATTCCATTCAAGCAGTAATCAGTATCAGTAGCATTTTTAAGTATATGGTTCTTCCTGAGATTTACTAAGCCATGATCCTGGTTGCAAACATTAGGTATTATTGGCATGATACTGCCAAGATTTTGATTGACAGAATGTTGTCTCTGGCGTGCAGTGCATTCTCATATTATCCAAGGCTACCTGCCTTTAGGTAACAGATACCATATGGTTAATCACCCATATACATGAACCATGAAAATTACATTAAAGAACAGCTGGTTACTGCCGTGGATTGATGAATGATCTCTGAATGCAGTCCTCCACTATTAATTTTGCTTGCTTGAATTTAAGGATAGTACCTCAATTTTGATCTGCTATGGCAGGTGGAAATATCTCACTCTTTTCATATGCCATGTCACAGCATGAGCAAGACTCTTGGCCAAAAGTCTTAAATTCTGGAACATTCTGACCTGAGTTATTATATAGTCCAGATCATCTAAGTATGAATTCACAGTTCAAAAAAATGACAATTAAAAGAGCTTAGACAGTTCATATTGTTTGTGTGCATGCAATATCCCATCACTTGTCTTGCTTTATACGAAGTACATAGTAGTGAAGGTTCTACATTCTAATAAATATAGCACAATCTGGTTAATTAATTCCCACAGTCTGGTTAATTCATTAACTCTTGTGATGAGGAGAATCAGTTTAAACCAGGAGTGGATAGTTTGAGAACTTAAGGTCTCATGCAGCCATCCAGAGTCTTGAGTCCAACTTTTAGAGAAACTCTAAAATTGTTACCAAATTGTGGTTTCAATGAAGTATAAGACAAAATGTTAGATACATGGGAATAGTAAAACTAATTGCATTTAATTAAAGCAATTTTAGTGTTTTTCCCCTGCCTCCATGGTTTTGTCGCACTGATTTCTAGCAGCCTACTTAGGACAAGCATGACCCATGACTATAAAATGCATGTTCCATTTCCCTGAAATAGAATAGTAATGAGAAATAGGGAATTGCTTAAATTAAACTCAATAGCCGGGCATGTTTTTAACATACATTTACTTTTTTCACATACCTGCATTATTCATGTTAGCTTCTGTTTACAAAGTGAAGGAAAGCTCTGTTTTACATGAGCAAACTATTTTAATAAGCTATAGCTTTAGAAAGTGGTACTTTGCTTTCCCTAATTCACTAAGCATTTTGAACTGTTGAGCTGTTTTTGAATTAGTCATGTGACCTTAATTTATATTTCATTATCATTTCGATCCTAAATGTTCTCTGAAGAATGTGCCAGCATTAGTATTTCATCTAGTGCCAGCTTTTCTCCCCAGCCCTGTTTTCCTACTGCTTTTGTGGTTCAAGATTATATAGGCCTCATCATAGAGCTTCTGAATAAGCTTTTTGTCTCCCAAAGAGCTAATTCCCCTCTCCTGAAGAATTTGAAAAATGATTCTAAAAAGGCTATATTTTATTTTATTTGTCATTCCAATAGGCTTATTGGAAGTGGTATACTGTATTTATCACCTTCATTGACCAATGGGAATAACACTTTTGGAAAAATATTGTTATGGGAATGACCTGAGCATCTGATGGAAACTATTTTGTATATTTTGTCTCTGTCCATTAAGAAATATGCTAATTTTTCTTTGTGTTGTTTTGATTCTGTTAATAAGACTTAATCATTACATCTTCTTTCCACCTTTGATTCAATAGTTTAGTTTAAGTTTATTCTAGTCTAGTCTAATCTAATCTAGTTTAATTAAGCTTAAATAAGGAAATTGTGCCAAGTAGTGCATTTTTTCAACTTAGAGCTGATTTGCTACCTATTCTATTTGTTCAGTATCAAGAGATTTTTAATTAACATTTAATGACTGTAAAATCATCAATTTGCCTGAGGAACATACTTTATGATGGAAATTACATAGCGAATAGTGCGATCATTCAAAATATATTCCATAATATATATCCAGCCCCTTATTTTCTCAAAAAAATCTGCCTCACTTCTTTTGAGGTTGTCATCTGAGTGATGCAATAGTCTCATTTATAAAAGGAGATAATAAGTAGATATACTTTATTACTAGGAAAAAATCTGAACCAGTTTTATTGCATTTTGCCTTCTTCTTATGAGCAAGTACAGTTTTGCTAGTCACACAGTTCCAGAATTAATAAACAAAGGTAACAGGCAAGGAGAGTTTTGCACATACTAGTCCTATCAGCATAATATGTTCGGTGATCCTCCACAATTCTTTTTACATCAAAACCAACTCTGAATTTTACCAGCTTGGCATTAGATTTATTATTTATAATTCCTTTCATGCCATGAGCAGAATTTCCTTCAGTGTTCTAATCATTTCCTAAAGTAAACTCGTGAACTCCACCGCCACAGAGAAAAGTAAATGGTGATGCAGATGAAAAATAAATACTGCTACAGCAACGGAATCTCTTCTATTTGTTTCTTTAGGTGGTATTTCTCCACCCTGACATATACCATACTTCATGAGAAATGCTTGAAGTAGCTTCCTTGCTTATTAAGTGGGAAATAATTAGGGCTTAGTGCACTTAAAATAGCTGCAATTATTCAGGTAACTATTGCAAAATTTGCTTACAGCAATTAAATAAGTGAGTTTTTTCACAGTTTATGAATACTTTTTCTGAACAAATTATGCAAAGTTCTTCTGTGTATCTACCTCTACAATTGCATTAAAGAATACAAAATGAAGATACACTAGGAACCTTCTACATAGTGTTTTAGATACCATTTGTTCCAATATATTTGGCCAACTAACTCATTGTTGTTTTTATTGTCTTCCTGCTATTTTTTAGGATCACCAATGAACTTAAGATCTGTTACCTTTTCACTTGGAAATGTCAAGAATTTAGCCTGAGAATTTTAGTATTCAATGGTGTCTCCTTCTTCTAAACTATAGTCCTCTCGCAGAATATAGACAACCAGCAGTGGTGTTAAACTCAAATAGAAATGGGGACCACTAAACCATAGTTCATGTTGATTTAGAAAACCACACTTTTTTATTAATACATCAACATGTTAAAATCAAACAGGAACTAGATATAACCAATACATAAAAAACATTGTCATGAATTGGTCCGTTTCTTTTCAGTATTTATGTATGACCATATGGGTGTGGATATTTATGTGAGGGTGGTGAATTGGTGTGTGTATAAACACTGTGTGTGTGTGTGTGTGTGTGTGTGTGTCTGTGTGTGTGCACGTGTGTGTATGTATATCTCCACCATCCTGCTCTGAGCTTCCACCTGGCCTACCATCAAATTAATGCACAAAGCGGTGCATTACTTCTTACTTTGACTTACCGCTTCCCTGAAATGCTCCCTCTAATTTCTGACATCTCTTTAGCCTGCTCCACCACAGTGCCAAGCAATCCTCACCATTTAGCAACTTTATGACTTGTGCACTTCAACTCCCAGATTTCCCCAGCCTGATGGCTAGGGAATTCTGGGAATTGACATCTTCAAGTCTTAAAGTTGCCAAGTTTGGAGACCACTAAGTTAAACCAAGGCAGCAAACATGTTCAAGTTTACTCACAAGTTTTATGATGATTGGTAACTAAATCTATTATTATTTAGTAATATCCATGTTTTATTGTATCTTTATTTTGTTAAATATTTTCAAGTTGCATTTTAATTTGGTTCAGATCATACTCTGATGTGTTTGCTGACTTAGTACTGGATTGGTGCGACGCGCAGACAGGGCCAGCATGTCTTTAATCCCAGCCCCCCTCCTGAATCACCCACATTCCAATTTCTTCCCTCCTCCGTTGCAAATGTCAGGCTGGCAAGATGCTATGCGAAGCAAGAAGCAGAATGTCAGCCAAGATGCTATGCGAAGCAAGAAGCAGAATGTCAGCCATGACATGCCGCCCCTCCAGAAAAAGGGTCTTAGAGAAGAATGGCAGCCATGAAACATAGCTTGCAAGATAGTTGGAGAAATATATTTCCTTACAGAATGTTCACAAACTCTTAGAAATGGTCAATGCAAATAATAACTTTTGTTGCACTTCTTTTCTTTGTTGCAAAGTCTAGGGATTCTATCAAATTAAATGATCTGAAATCTGAAGTGTCACCACGGATCTCAGCTGAAGATTTGATTGACCTCTGTGACCTGACAGGACCTGGCCATTCTAAAACACCACCAAAGAAGACAAAGTCTAGCAAACCAAAGTTGCTTATTGTTGACATTCGGAACAGTGAGGAGTATCCTTTGATGGTGAAAGTCATGGCTTAATAATTTCTCACTGTTTTTGTCATCGTTACAGTTTTGGGTTGAAAAGTACGTTATGAGAAATGGGAGAAAAGCCTCCCACTAGTTGGAGGGAGATTAGTGATCGAAATAATAGGGCTGAACTATCTTTAATCCATTATATGGGGGTGGGGGAACCTCAGCACTTAGAAAATCAGACATCAATAAGAAAACAATCTACCTTTATTTTCTTAGTTACATCTTTTTTCTATGTTCATTTTTAACAACAACAAAAATCAAAGCAAACAAATCAGCCTGACACAGAATTAACCATCTTAATATCAGCAGTGCTAGAGAGTTGCACTATTAACCTTGTGTGATAGATTGGGAAGAGAAGTAGCCCAGAGTCACTGTGTATGAGTTGGGTGGCTATGTAAATGTGATAGAAAAATCAATACATAAAATAGTGATGTGCAGATATTAATGTGGAAATCCTTGGCTGAATGTAGAATAAAATCTCTTTTCTTTCCCTAACTATTGGAAGTTTTAAAACATGGTCCACTTACTGTAGTATTACCAATAGATTTTATGCTCTCTTCTGTGCCAGTTACAGATAGCTAACAAGTTTGCTTTCCCTCACTCTCTGCAACAGTGGTTACTGAAACTCTTGGGCAATTCACATTATTGAAAAGGATTATGAAAAATGATGATCCTATTTTTTTCCCCATCATTTTCCTCCTATATTTTTTTCCCATCATTTTCCTCCTAGATTCTGGATTTTCTGTTATCTTTCTATCAGGACACACACACACCCAGTTACTTAGTTTTCCTTCATCCAACATAGTTTCCATTACTCAACGTATCTTCTCAGTGCCTACAAGTCTGCTTTTCAGTAAGACCCAATGAGAAATCCTATGTCTCTTCCTATTGCAGGTATCATTAATTACGGTAGAACTGATATTTTTTATTTTTAGTGCTAGAGACTTAGAAACATTTAGAACTGAATTACTTTTAAATTTAAACACCCTTTTCTTAGTCACACCTTTATTAGAAAACAGAATTGCTATGGCTTGAAAACAAGCCAAAAAACCCCAACCCTCAGTATGTTGTACTATCTAACTAAAACAACAGTGATCAAGTATAACTATTCTTTATAGATATTTATTAATTTCATGTGCTTGTTGAAGTTTGCAAGGCCAAGCTTCACCGTGTTAATCTGTTGGCGCTTCATTATTTAGTTTTCTGCAGCTTTTCTCCTGCAGTAGTTTAATCTTTTTAAGCCAGATTCATTTATAAGGAAAGCTTTTAATTTTGCCTGCACGACATGTTAAGAAAATCTCACAGAAACTTGAGCAGTTCTGCTACTAATAACTCTTTGTTGAAATTAACAGGCAGCTTTTCTTGCCAAGGCAGTGGGTGTGTAAAGTTAATAACATTTCATCTGTAAGATTTGCTGTTAAACCCAGAGGTTGGCTTTTAATAGATCAGTGAAATATATCCAAAATAGGAAGTACTACAAAAAGAAGCAATAACTTAAGAGGAGTTTAGTTCCATAGTCAGTGGAGAACTATATCCCAAGCACAGAAGGCATTTCTCAGTTCACAGAGATCACTTTGTTTTTTTCTCATTAACTGTGAATCTTGGTTTTACTTAAAACAAGAATCTACAACTTGCAATCCTTGGGAACCCTCAGACTTCCCCATTTTCTGATAAATAATGCTTAATTAGATATGACGAATAATCAAACCAGCAGTGTTCAGTTAACCCAAATTAAATGTTAATTAATTTTCTCAACTCTTCCCCACTTTTTGGAATGTACTCCCTGGAGTTCATTTGAAAGCCAAGTGCTGCTTTCAGTAGTGGGGGAAAAAATACTTTTGTGCTCTTAAGGCAAAAGGCTTTTTATTCTCAAAAAGAGGCCTGTCTTACAGATTCTTAGGCCCAGAATGCTAGTTATAATTTTGCATATGTAATACGGTCTAAAAAGAATTAAAAATGTTTCCAGATTTAGGACTAATTTAATTTTACCAGTATAAGAGTATTGTGTAGTTGTTTCTTTTCCTATCTCAAATTTTTTATATATATAAATGAGGGGGGGGAGGTGAAAGAAGCAATATGAAAACATTTTGGAATAAAATTCTAGTGAGACAATTAGGTCATTTCACAATAAAAGTTTCATCTGGAAGCCACTTAATTCAGTTGAAATTAAAATAAAACTCCATTGAGAAAAAGCAGGTCATTTCACAATAAAAGCTTTATCTGGGAGCCTCTTAATTCAGTTGAAATGAAAAGCTTGCCTATAACAGAAGGCTAAAGGTCAATCCATACATACTCTAGCCAATTTAAATAGTATTTAGCCTGATGAAGCATTATGAAATTTTATGCAATTGCATGGAAAGGAAGAAAGAGATTCAATTTCCAAAGCTCATAAACTTGTTTTTGTAGGATAACACATGTAGACTGCACATATCTAGTCAACCACTAGATGGAAGTCTGATTGTCCTATATTTGTCTATTCTTTCATCTAGTCTCAGCCCTTTGAGGTATTCCAGACAAGATGCAGAACTAGGAGTATTAGTTCTATCTTTGTTGTAAGCTTTCATTAACAGTATCTTCTTGCAAGTCTGAAAGTATATCTCCTTCCCTGTTGCCTTTACAGTCCCTACGGTCCCTGAGATGTTTGCCACTTCCCATTCTTCTGCAGGTTCAGCTGCTCTTATCTGATTGTTGCCTAGTCTACAGCTCTTCCTCACATCTCCCAACATCTTTCCCACATACTATTACATCTAATGTTCACATAGAGACTTGGAACCCAGATATGGTGTGCCTATACCCAAACTGTACAGTCAAATAATTTGGCCATTATTCTTGAGGTAGCATCATCTTGTACTTTGATACACCCAATATTCATGCCTAAAAAGTTTGATTCAGCATGTTTGAATATAGTATAATTAATAACAAATTGAATGGAAAAGTAGGCCAAATCTAGCAACTTGGAGCTTCTATTTCTTCTTATCTTAGTGGTGGTTCCCGTATAAATTCCTATAGAATCCAGGCTAAAAATAATTTGATTTATATTACAGGTACAAGCTGTAGTGAATTATTTTTTTCTCTAAGATAAGGGAAATCTTTGTGTTAAAAGATGGTACCATATAGGGTAGCATTTAAGTGAAATAACAACGTAACATTTAAGTGATGTATGCTTTTGCAATATTCAGCGGTTTTTTAAAAAAAAATTAAGTTTAATTATGTTACAAAAATGCCAATTGTGTTGCATTGTTTTGGTTGAGGATCTCCACGAAATTCTTTACAGTCCTTTAGTTCTGTTACATACATATTTGCTACTTATAGTCAGCTCACTACTGGAATGGTTAAGATTCCATTTAAGATTAGAATGAATACTTCAAACACAGGCACAGTGACATGCTAAAACAATTGCAGAAACCCAACACAAATGTTTTTCTTTTTTTGAGGATGTATTTATACAGTTGTCAGAAAGGGCTATCCTGTTTTTAATCACTATTATACTACTAATGATAAAGATGTAGATGTATTTATATATTTTGTTGTGGTGGTCCAAAGTAAAAGGTAATTATTCCCTCCAGCTAGGTGAAATTAATGAATTCTTTTAATTAGTGGGATGGGTCAGCTTTTTGTTGATCGCAAGCAAATGTTGCTGTTATGCTTCTCATGGTATAATCTTGACAGTCACCCAAATGGAACTGCTTATACAAGTTGTGTTAAGAGGTATTCAAACTAGTATTAATCCTAGATTAGCTGTAAGCCTTCCTAAGGGATTTTAAAAATTATCATAGTGTTGCAATAACTTAAATAGAAAGTTATTACCTTGATTTTTAGCCGGCAAACCAACCATTTCATCAGTAGATGAAATTGGAACTTGTTTAGCTCCATCAAACATTATCAATTTACTCTTGTTTATAATATTTTATAGTCAGATAGGAATAGTACTGCAAAATGATATGCAATTAATCAAACTTCATTAAAATATTAAAACCTGTATTAATAACTATTAGTATCAAGCTGAACTGTAGCTATTTTTTTAAAACAAAATCTTAAAAACACATCAGATTTAGTAATACATATTAAAAACATATTCCTTGCACAAATACAGAAGAGAGCATGTTGTACTTAGTATAAGAATGAAAAAGGGCCTAACAGTATTAATAGTGAATATTATGCATGGATATTGAAAAGGAACCTCCATTATTACCCATAGAATTTATTGTCAATCAGTATTTCTGGGATTACATCTTAAAGATACTAACACAGAAGTTGGAAAGTTATGGACCAGAGTCCTCATCTGGGCTTCAACATTGTCTCAGTTGCTAAGGATCTCATTTTATCTCCCTATGCTCTGAAAAGTCACCCTGAACTCTGTAATAATTTTACTTGGTTATAGGGAAGCTACGTAATTTAAAGAAAGAGAACTGCTTCAGAATTCTTACAAATTGAAAAGCAGAAAAAACTATGCAAGATAGAGCAGACCAAATCTGCTGAAGACAGCAAAAATCAGTGAGTTTCTGCAGAGTCATTAGGAGGAAAGAGAAACTTTGGACAATCACATATTCCTAGATATGGTGAGGTTGAATGCCTTTGAGTCAGTTTGAGAGGTGGATATCTAAGTTACATAGTCCTACAAGAAGTCTCAAGCACCAGGTTTATAGCCGAGTTCCTTACTCCTATTTTAGAGTAACAATCTCCTTTGTTCTAGTTATCATTTATAGAAAAATAGTTCTAGTTGAAGCAAACTTTGGGTGAACTTGTCTTGTTGGGGCTTCCCTTATCTGGTGTTCTACGAAAACCATAACCAATAGCTGCAGAATAATTCCGGCACTGAATAGCTTACTATTTAGTTTCCCATCTTTTGTCCTGATGGACCATTCTACATGTAAATGCTGCTTTTAAGGAGAGAATCAGAATGGGATGGGGATTTTTTCAGAGTTTTCATTAGTTTTCAGGAGAACATTGCAGTCCGATGCTGGCTATGTTTTTTAGTGCTTTTTATTGTTTTAAAATGTTTTAAGATTTTAACTGTAATTTATGCTTTTGAATTGTGAGCCACCCAAAGTTGCTTGCTGAAATGGGCAATTATAGAAATTGAATAAATAAATAAAATGATGGCAGCATTTGTAAGGTTTCTAGTTTTGCTTTTGTTGCTCCTCCTCCTTCTCAGCTTCCTTAACTAAAAGTTTTTTTATCTAGTTTTAACCGTGGACATATACCAGGAAGTATCAATATCCCATTTGGATCAGCATTCACTGCTGAAGGAGAATTTATCCAGTGCCCTGCTACTTCCACACTTCAGAGCTTTAAAGGGAGAGTTGTGGTGATTGTAGGACATGTGCCAAAAAATGCAGCACAGGTAAGCTGGAGGGGGGAGAAAGTACGTATATTGTTCAGAACAATGATTGGCAAATAATACAATACCTGGACTGCAATTTTACAGACAACTTACAGATGTAAAAATGTGTACCCCAAATCCACCATTAACTACCGTATGTGCACACCTTAAAAATTCAAGTAATACCTACATAAACATTGAGATTTCAAATGCTTTTGTAAAATGTCTAGGTCATCCTTTCAGCCTGGTTATTTGGACTATAACTTTCATCATCTACAATAAGTTGTGGAAAATTAATAATTTATTTATTAATAGGTAAATTAATAGTTTGTTCAGTTCTCATGAGAATTATATCTGAATTTGATTAACAGGCAACTTAACTATTCCATTCCAGGATGTCTTACACTCTAAAATATATGCAATGTTTCATAACAAGGACAGGTTAAAGAGACCAACCCATGTTACAATAAAAAGACAGTATTTTATTCCATTATAGTTGCTGCTTGCCCGAAATGATAATATTGTAAGGAAATCATAGGGAATGGCAGGGTATAAGAATTGTCATTTTTAGTTGTTTCAACAGGTTGCTAATGCCTACCAATCACATCTTCTCTCTCTGGTGAGAAAGAAGTTCCCTGAGGATGGAATCCAGCACGAGTCCTAAAGCTCAGAAGATTAAACATCTGGTCCCAGTGACCGAGCCAGATTGGATCCTGCAATATTATCCTGGGACACATTTGCCTTATTTCAAATTATATCTTCCAAAATAGGATTCCCTGGATGTCTGATTCCAGAGGAAACTTGTGGATCTCTGGATCAAGATGCACCGAAACTTGGCGGACCAGAATATTTTAGAATTTAAAGGCTATGCTTTTGTGGTTACAGCTATTAAAATGAATGGAGCAATTAGTGTTTGGCAGGGAAGAATAAATTAAAGGGATGGAGGGACATATTCAGAATGATTCAAGTACAGAACAGAGGGAGATTTCTTGATACCATATATAACAGTAAATCATGCTAAAAGAAACATTCACTTTCCCTAGCTTTTTCAGCTACAGTATAAACTTTATTTTAAAAAAAGTCTCAGATATTTATATTGTAAATATATATAATAAGTATAGTAAAATACAGTAAAAATACAATGAAGTATTTGTGTAGTAACAGAAAAATTAAAAATATTTTTTTAAACATAGGAGAGTTGTTAAGGAATTGCCTTACTAAAATTCTTTAATTCTTTTATTGATTTATTTATTCAGCAAATATGTGCCCCAAGGCAATTAAACAACTTGGCAATTTTCATATGAACTGCATATAAAACAAGAAATAAAACATCCACACTCACAATCAGAGCATAAAGACAAAACAAGACATAGCCCATAAAAAACAGAATATAAAGTTGTGGATCCAAGAAAATATAATAAATGTGCATATTCTATTGACTCAGCAGCAATACTTCCCAGCAGTGTGCCCGAGGCCTACATTGTTTGGTAGTTTGCATTGAAATGCTGCTTGTTTTCAGTTAATGTATATATCGAGGAACTTGTGCACATTTCATTAGAGGAACAGCAGATTTATACATATTTTGGGATTCTCTAAAACTGTTACTACAGTATTTCTTTTTTCCTTAGGTGTTCTTATAACAGCTCCATATTTCCTGAACTATTAGAATTTTGAGTGTTATCAAAAACAATTCAGAACTACCATGTACAGCAGCAGTCCCCAACCTTTGTGGCTCCATGGACTGGGGGGGGGGGGGAAATGGTATGGTTTCACACACGCACCCGCCGCTTGCACAAATGGAGGTTTGTGCACTCACCTTTTACTTGTGCAGCCCAGTTCCCAATGGGCTATGGACTGTTACTGGGTCACAGACTGGGGGTTGGGGACCCCTATCTACAGATTACAAAGCTAGTAATGTAAGTTGCCCAGTGTCACAACAGAGTTTTGCCTTTGAGACTGTCCATCCATAGCAATATCTGTAGTGCAGTTTCAGGAACTGATTGACTGGATATACACTAAGTTAGTTGCTCTATGTGAAGTGATTTAGGACATTAGTTATTTTCTAAGTTATAAGGCTAAATCAGCTAATAAGGGGACTCTGGTTTGAGCTGATAAGATTTTCAGTAAGAAGTGTTCTTTTAAAAGAGATAGCCAATTTTTAGCTTCATTAATCTGGTGACAGTAATATTTAGAAATTTTGTTCTGTGATTCTAAAAACAACAGGTTCTTGAACTCAAGCTCATTCCAGATATAGTGAAGATTAAACAAATGAACTTTACCTTTACCCTGTTTTTATAACTCTTAATGTTTAGGGATTGTGAACTTTTTATCACCATTCATTTATTTTGCCCTGTAAAAATTATGTTATTTTTCTCTAAGTTTCTAAGTCATTAGCTGGAACCATTTTTAAATAGTTTGGTTATATTATTTTACTATAGCATTAGAATGCTTGTTAGTGTATTATATTTTTAGAATTGATGGGATTTCATCTCCCCCAAACTGTATGTGTTCTTTTTTAATTCTGACAATGAAATAAGGCTGGATGACACATTCCTGGCCTCAGCATATATCTCTTTGCCTCTATGAAACTGATTGATTTTTAAATATGTTTGGTGACCTTTCCATGTGGGAACTGTTTCCTTACTGATAACGAAAGAAATTATTTGTTTCATAGCATCACAAGTACTGGGAAATTAACTTTAGGGTGCATTTTCAGTGGAAAATTATTGACTCAGTGGCCCAAAATAACAATAATACACAGTAGATACACATAGCAGCATTCATTAGTGTGTGCCAAATCAGCTAATCCAACTCTGGAACCAACCCAGTCTCATGGAGTTATTGTGGAGATAACCCAGAGTTAGCATCAGAAAATAGAACAACATTGTCTCATAGCTGAGCATGGGAAAACCAAAACAATTATTTTTGTTGTTTTTTTACTAGTAAGTGAAATCCACCAAAGAGTGGAAAAGAACATGCTACAAGAAATTGAAATATTTCAAATTTTGTACAATTACAGATTTTTTGAAGCCACAGATCTTCTACAAATGTGTTGTGTTTTCTTATTTTCAGTTATCCATAACTTAGTTGTTTGGGAACATTAATTTTTATATAATTATAAAAGTCCCCAAGGGGATGAACAGCTTTGTAAAGTTTCAGACATAGGTTATCTGTTGAAGCATAAATAGACAAGATGAAGTCATGAATCTTGTCAGTTGGCCAGATCAATTAGTTAATGCAGTTAACAAAACATTATTATTCAGATAAGAAACTCGGGAAAAATCTGGTGAAAGATTTAAAAAGATTTGGAGATTTTTGAAAATTATATTTGTCTCATTGTTTACATAAGTTAAAATCAATTATGGAAGGCTAAGATGAGAAACAGTATATAAATAGCAGGTGCTTCATTTTTTTCTATCATTTAATATGTATTGCAATTACAGTCATACAAGCATCATAAATGTATATTGTAAGTGAAATGCTGAATGATAACAAGGAGATATAGTATTTGATGACCCTGTCTTCTGATAATAATGATGATATATTTTAGCCTATTAAGACTCATAGACTTTTTCATTCTATCTAACTAAATAGCATATGATGTAATGAATGTTAAAAAATTCACTTACTATTATCTTCAATAAGATTTTTGTGCTTTGCAAGAGTGGAGTGATTATTTTGAAGACGTGTCTATTTTTAAAGAAAGATAAATCCATAAATTAGATCTCAAATTTAAAATAATATATTTGACTGTACTGTATGGTAGGTTTATTTCTTATCATATTTTTCATCTACCTAGATTAATAGGAACTTTAAACTGTTTGTAAGCTGAACTCTTATACCTGCCATTTCTACTTGAAATTATGGAGTGGAAGGGGTACATTCCTTACCAGTTGAGAATTTAGGGAATGTTCCTTTTATCTTGAGTGAACAAATAGTGCATTTTTGCCATAGTTTGTTCCTACTACTTATCTCACTCATTACCTTGATGTTTGTAGAGTTGTACTCTTTTGGTTTGCTTTCACTTGTTTTAAATTCCAAGCCACATCTAAGAAACTTTCTTAATGCTTTCTGCTTCATTGTTCAAAAGATCGTTATTGGTCAGGGTTGTAGAATTGTTATGTTGCCAAATCAAGTGATTCCAGATANGGGTGGGCCGTTCTGCTGCTGGGAGGCTGCGGCGGTGCTCGGCTGCTTCTGGGCCCCCGGCGGGTGAATGGCGGGCTCCAGCGAGGGAGGCAGCAGCGCGGAGAAGCGAGGGGAGGGGGGTGGGCACGAGGGCTGGGGTGGGGTGACGCTCACGCGAGGGCGAAGAAAAAAAAACGTCCCCTCGTCGCGTACAGGGGGCAGCCCAAACTGGCGAGATGCACTTCCCTTTCCTGTTAGATGGCAACTCAGGGTATGAGGAGAAAACGTTCTGCATATGACGCTTCATTTTTAATCGAAAATTAGGGGTGCGCGTTATACACGTGTGCGCGTTATACTCGAATAAATACGGTATATATCGAGGAACTTGTGCACATTTCATTAAAGGAACAGCAGATTTATACATATTTTGGGATTCTCTAAAACTGTTACTACAGTATTTCTTTTTCCCTTAGGTGTTCTTGTAACAGCTCCATATTTCCTGAAAAATTAGAATTTTGAGTGTTATCAAAAACAATTCAGAACTACCATGTACAGCAGCAGTCCCCAACCTTTGCGGCTCCATAGACTGGTGGTGGTGGGGGAGATGGTATGGTTTCACACACACACCCGCCGCTTGCACAAACGGAGGTTTGTGCACTCACCTTTTACTTGTGCAGCCCAGTTCCCAATGGGCTATGGACTGTTACTGGGCCACAGACTGGGGGTTAGGGACCCCTATCTACAGATTACAAAGCTAGTAATGTAAGTTGCCCAGTGTCACAACAGAGTTTTGCCTTTGAGACTGTCCATCCATAGCAATATCTGTAGTGCAGTTTCAGGAACTGATTGACTGGATATACACTAAGTTGCTCTATGTAAAGTGATTTAGGACA